ATAATCGCAGTAAATTAATGGAAATGAAAAACATTTAAAAGTTTTTATTTTCAACGATTTTGAACACAAATTTCAAACATTTATAAAGTATTTAAAATAAGACTATCTAATATCTAAGGTATATTACGTTTGTTAATATGGATTTTTCTAATTACAACAAGTCAACTACCTCCTCCCAACTAGATAGTTGAGAGTAGGTAGGTAGGTTGGAGATCCAATATAATAAAAAATAAAATTTCACAGTTTATTTATTTCAGGTAAAGAACATTTTAATTTCATAGTGACTGCTCTCCATACAAATATATTATATTACAAACAAAGTTTGGTATTCTTTTGTATAATAATAACACATAAAAATACTGAAAATTTGTTTAGTCTAGCCAGCTAAACCCACCTATAGAAAGCCTAGTAGGTAACTACAACATAAGTAAAGCTATTTTCAACTGTTTTTTTTTTTTTTTTTTGTATTTGGCTTCTGTCCCACTGAGGACAATTCTGCCAATGTCCGGGTTGAAAGATACACGGTATATTTATCAAGATTCACTCAAACGACGATGATCGGTTGCACCATCCTATGGACAAAGACAAAGCACGGGGTTATTTGACTAACTACTTTGGATGAAAAGCGTAAACGCATGCTGTGCACATAGTAAAAGTTATAACCGTATGTTATTTTGTTCAATATATTTAAATAGAATAAATAGTAGAGGAGTTTTTAGGGGAGGATACTATAAAAATTTGTGGGACGAGGGATACAATCTGGATGAAGATCGTATAAAAAGACGGGATATAATGCACAGTTAAAAAATATATGGTCAAGAGTTCCTTCTTCAAGACCGCACTCACAAAGGGAGTGATCCATTCAACTGTTTGTTTATTTACTTATTTTGTGTGATGTCTTTGTGTAGAGCTGAGTATTATCTAAAGTGTGCTTTTTCTATTACGTAATTTAAAAAAAGTCACTTTAAAATATTTTATTAACATTGTCTAAAAACACTATTCAAAAACATTTTGTTACTTGCCAGTCTTAACAAACCATGCAATTCAAAAAGTTGTACTTACAACTCCGAGAAAATATGGTGACCTTTGTGAGAGAGAACAGAAAAAAGTCATCTAAAAGCCATTTGACATGAATGTCTTCTGTTGTTTTAGCGATTTATCACAGACATACAATTATCTCCTAGTATACAATTATATGTCAGTGGCGGTTTATAGATAAATATTTATTTTATAATGTTCAAAAGTATCAAAAAATTCAAAAGCAATTGGAGTCGTTACTCGTACCGCCATCTAGTTTTTCTGATCCAATTTACTTCGTTGTAATGTAGAGTCGTAAACAATTCCGTTCTAGTTGAATGATACAAACCGTATTTATTCACATAGTGTACAACAGATGGCGTGCAGAAATTAAAATTTACGCAGGTTGTCTCCATTGTTCTCGAAGACTATAAAAATCATAAAAATAGTAAATTTTTCTTCATAGATACCTGATACAGGTTGACACACGATTGTCCACAACACGACAATCCACCTGTGGTTGATTCTTAGAGGATAGAAAAAGGTTGATTGTTCAAAAAGGCAGTAATCAATAGATAAGGTAGTTGGAAGATAGTTCCACACTTGATATAAAACAATATCAAAAGCTATATATAATATAGATATATTATTTAATTTAGAAATCCTAGGGCTACTTTCGCACCGTTGTAATTACGTTGAAAAATTATAGTCTTCGGCCATATTATTTCTTTCATTTATTTTTACAAATCTTAGAGCATTACTCAAAGGCACAAATGGATATTTAGACTTTATCAGAAACTTTTGGCTAACAAATTAATTTATACGTAAAGTTAAAAAAATAAATTGAAACTCAGAAAGCTAGACTTCTGGTCACAAGATGGAATGGTCTTATATGGAATGGATTGATATGAAATAAGTTTTAATACAAATTACGTGTTCTAATAAATTCTCACCCTATCTCTACCATAGAATATCAAATTTCGTAACTGGTATTTGGAGAACGGTGTCGCCATGACCGACCAAGCCTGCTGAGGCATGAACCGCGAGTCGAAAGGTAACTTGATACTGACGGAAGCCGCTGCCAATTCACATCGTATGGGCTACGGTCGGGATATCGACCGTTTCACATGCGTAGAAATTAAAATATTATTATGTGGTTAAATGACATACATGCGGTACATAAAGTGCGACGTTTTAAATACGTGCCATAATAGTTTTCTAAAAAGTAAAGTATTCTATATTTTATATAAAAGTATACAATGATACAAGAGAACTATAAATATTACTCGTTAAAATAAGCTGTGATCTTATTGTTAAGTAGCAATTTCTTCCAAATCTTAGAACAGAAAATAAACAACAATAATAGTCAATTCACCACTGACTAATACACCATTCATCCTTCGCTTACTGTTATATTACAGAAAGCGTAAAATATTTAGGTATTTCTAAGATGCCTGTTCAATGTGACCATAATAACCTCTAGATTTAAGAATTGATTTTTTTAGTTTGTTTGAAAAAAATAAATATACGCGATTCAAATCCGAAAAATAGTTTCAATTCCCATATGTAACATTTGCGAAATCCTAAGAATTTAAAACATCTACGAGTAGATTGTTTCGTTCAGGAAACACAGATCACGTCAAAATGTTCCATCCATTTAACTGCACGCATGATGAGCATGAAAGCAAAACGGTTCGTGCGAATTGGTAGAATATCTGCAATCTAGGGTTGGGGCTAAGGGCGACAAATTGAAACTATTGTCTGCGAATAGAAGCGCCATCTAAGCATTACATTTATCATTAGTCACAGCAGAGCTCCTTGTGAAAGAGTTCATCCAGAGACGTACTGGCACTTTATCTATTTCTGCCGCCAGGCAGTAATGTGAGCATTACTACGTTTCGATTTTGAAATAATAATAATAATAATAATAATAATGCTCACAATCAACATAGCCCAGCACTAGGGAAACCCTGTGTCGCGGGTGCCATGGACACACACATAGACAACCACAAATTACACCCAAACTCACAAAAAGAATTGAACCTGGGACCTCTGCGTGGCAGTCCGGCATGGTAACCATTCGGCCATGGAGGTAGTTAAATGCAGGCAAATGTATCGTATATTTCAAATGGGACTTGTTAACTTATGTCTCAGCGTGACGGCACTGCTAACAGTGCTTCTGAGATCTTTGTGACTTAAAGCTCTGAGGGGCACTGCAACTATTATGGACTTGATATCATAAAAAATGTATATCGATAATTTATTATTAGTTAAGTAGGTAATCTTAATTGTTAGCATAAGGGCAAGGAATTTGCACGGCTGCAAGCGAATAAAGAGAATTCAGAGAAGACGTGTTTTACTGGCTCCCATAATGGCGGCTAGATTTTTCTGGCATTTATATATGTAAGTGGTGACTGTATGTAGGTAGTTCATCATTATCAACAACCCCTTTATACGTCCCACAAACATTTTTGTTCCATTATCCTAAAGCGAAGCGCGTCGCTGCTAAATTGCGTGCTTGTCAGCACGAACGGCATCTTGAGCACGTTGGCAAATAGGTGGGAGTCCTCAATGCTGGGGCCGTCGATGTGTCTGCACGCTACTGGCAATTCGTAGCCTCTTGCTCTGACTACGTTGACCTCCCAGGTACAAAACATATACCTAAATATTTTAATACTAACACCAAAAAAGTGGAGGCTATGAACATTAAATGCAGGAAGATGTCGTACTTGGGCCACTTCATGAGGAACTATTTATAAGTACAAATTACTCCAGCTTATCATCCAAGGCAAAACCGCTGAAAAACGAAATGTTGGTAGAAGCAAAAACCAGGATTGCCATGTTGTTGTCCCACCTCCGATAAGAGATGAATCCCAAGAAGAAGAAGACTAACACAAATTTTTAGCACTTTTAATTAAAATATTATGTATTCTTATTATTAACCGACTCAAAAAAGGGGAGGTTCTCAATTCGACTGTATTGTTTTGTGTGTATGTTACATATTATATCGATTACTCCGATATTTATAAACCGATTTCGATGTTTTTTTTTGTTGGAAAGGGGTAACCTTAATAATAGTTGTCCCATTCAAAATTGAAGAAAATTGACTACCTCTAAAGGTGGCAAATTAGGGGGTGAATCCTTTGTACTGGATTTCACCCATTTTCCGTACCCTTGGCAATTATATGTAATTCCATAAACTTTTGAGGTTTGGTTGTAATCATTATATAACTGTTTATTATTAGTTAATAACAATATTAATAACGTATTATTAGCAAGCACCACTTCATTTCAGTGATGAACTTTAGTCGTTTTAATCATGAATGTTGAACTTCTATTGGTAATTGATATGCCAAAGAAATACGTAGATATGTACTTAAAATATAAATAGGAACTAAGGTGCATGCCCTCCAAAGACATTAACTTACTTCAAACGTGATAACACCAGCAAACAGGCAATTTTATGGAAAAGAAAGTCTTAAAACATTTAAAAAAACATGGTAATTAACCTTTTAAATACGAGTACATTGACGTTTTGCTCATTACATAGCATTAGTACATTTATTTTTACATTTGAAGTCAAATTTTTTTAATTTGATTCTTACCCTACTAAACCGTAAACCGTAGGTTAAATTGACGATTAATAAAATGATCGGGCTCGAGTCTCTATTCTTAATAAGACTATTCCTTCGGGATGTGCTGTGCTCATATAAGTACATTTAGAGTCAATATAGTTTTATGTCGGTCGGTCCCTGTTATAAGTCTCTATTTCATAAGTATGTACGAATCGCTTGGTAACGCACGCGTCTAGTTGTGTGGCTTCAGAACTAGTATGGAAGGAAGGAAGTGTTGAAGTTTATTTGTACTTTATGTAATATAGAATGTGTAATTCGTGTAATATGAGTAAGATGTATAAGTGTATTTGTGATGCGATAGTTTTTAATGTAAAAAATAACTGTGTCTTTTCTTCAACAATCAGCCTTTGAAGACGAATTGATAGAGCGCTTCCTTTTTATTAAAAAACAGTATCGACTGTTCATATGTTTCAAATTTTCAATGTATGTACTTGACTAATAGTGAAGATTGTGTGCGATTATATATATAAATAAAGACAATGAGTGTGAAATATGGATCGATTCCAACAAACGATACTGATTTTTTAATTGAAAATGCGAAGGAAGTCGACACTGAAATTGATTTAAGGTAATTTATTATTAAGTAAAGGATATTGTTAGATCAATACTAGCCCATTTAGGGCATAGACATTTTAGGTCATACGCAAGACTTCTAAACCGGCCGATTGTTAATTCATAAGTCAATAGGTTTACGTGACGATATTGAGAAAAGTTATTTTTTATATCTTTGGTCCTAGAATTATTCTGAAGCCTTGTAAAGGCGCCTGAAATTTCAAATGTAAATCTTTGTATTTTTTTTCATTTTGTCATTATTCAATGAAAAAAACCTATATAATTAGATACAAAGCCTATTATAAACCTGATATTTAAAGTACTTAGTTCCTTTCTTCCATTGATATTTTTGTCAGCTCTACATTTTACAATACTAATTTGACAGTATCGATTAGTCAAGCATCGAATATCAAATGCTTTTATTTGGTACAAAACTTAAATTCTTTCAAAAATCAAATAGAGACATTCAGATATGAAGAATTTGCGGGAAATAGCAAGGTTTGTGACGTCACACATCATAATGGCGCCATTTAATGATCGTAATAATGTGAAGGGATGCAACGTCTCTCCTCCATGAAAATAACCCGTAATTATTTGGTGTTAACCCGTTGTGTACTAGCGTTGCCTTATGGCAATACGGTATTCAAAAAATATAAATTATATAAAACAACAACTTTTATTATTTACTTCGTTTTAATGTGTATCCAGCACATTTACGAATTTAAAAAAATATAATGTGATTTTATTTTTTTTATTACTTTGTCGGTATTTAAAACTTTGTAGGAAAAGTCGGAAAAATGGCACACCAAAAAGTGTAACTAAAATTTTCTTTTATTATTAATATGTTAAAGTGTTATAATTTATGAACATATTATTTTTGTAACCTTTGACAATAGTAACGTAAGAAATAAAAACAGAATTGTTAAAAATTACATACATTATTACAGTTTCATTACCGTTGCCAAATGGCAACGTATGAAGTACATTTTTTCACAATTTTACACTGGTTATCGTTTGAGTTTGAGTTTGGCTGAAGTAGTCGATTAACTTGAAACAGTGAAGACGTCCACGTTCCAGACGTGTACATAGAACCATCGAATGTGGCAGAATTTACCAACATTCTGCGAGTGAAGACGAAGCCGGTGGATACCTCCGGCCCTTCCAATAAAAGACGCAAAATCTCTAATCATGCTTGGAAAAAACAATTTCCTACCTGGCCCCAAAATCATATGTCATGAGCTAAAGTATTTTCTAGCCATTTTAGTACTATCAGGGTACAATAAATTACTTAGTAAAAATCGTATTGGTACGGGGTTGATGATATATTATACGGAATACTCTGGTTTACAACAATTACAGGATTGGGATTCGTGGTAAAAAATGGTCGTGGCCGTTGTTCACGTGGTTTATAGATGTACCCATAAATAACTTTTGGATCTTGATGAAGATGTCTGGCAAAAATGTATCACAGTTAGATTTTCGGAAAGAAATCGTTAAAACTTATCTGAAGAATATGGCAGTATACAAGGGATTGGAAGACGTCCTTTTTGGAGGAAAGTTTTGCCAGGGGTGCGATATGATGGTGAAAAGCATTTCCTCAAACAAACAGAGAGGGTTGCAAAACAATAAGTAGAATAATTTGTACTAAATGTCTTGAAACATACAATTTTTTTTGCTACCATTACATGCTTTTTATTTATTACCCAACTGCCGCTAAGAGTTATACATAATGTATGTATATAATGCTTGTATGGAGCTAGGCTGCCATCTACTACAAACAATGACTAAGTAGTAGACCAACCTATACTGGAATTAAATATTTTGTACCCACTTTGGCCTAGCGTTGCCATATAGCAACAGGTCAAAACTCAAAAACGACAAATAAAATATATTTTCATATTTTTTACACACACAAAATAACAAATTTAGCCTGATTTCAAAATTCCAAGAAAATCTGTAAACATTTAAAACTCAGTCTCTAATGGGTTAATCAAGATATACAGAAATGAATTCTAGATTAATTCTTCTTTCAGCACGTTCATACGAGTTGATTGGAGATTTATTCAGTTTGTACCAGTTCAAGAGCACATTAAGTTTGATATTTAAGTTTAAATTCAACCCTATGCTGTTAACCATAAGGACAATCCAAAATGCAAAGTGCAAGTTTGATACAAAATTTTTCTTAACTATAAAATATTCTCCTATTTCAGCGATCCATTCAAACGACGGCGATGGTGGCGCGTCAACCAGAATGTTCTATATGGATTGGGACATGTCTACAACGATCTCTGCGCGGCGATGTGGTTCTCATACATGATGCTGTACTTCCAAGCAGTACTGGAAATGAGAGCTGCTGCGGCTGGAGCTATGTTATTGTTAGGTAATTAAATATATTTCTTATAAGGAAAATAAAATGTATTTTGCTAATCATCACTTTTATTTGTTTTACTAATTTGTTATTCTTTCTTATATTCCAGGACAAGTCGTAGACGCTTTGGCGACACCTATAGTAGGTGTGTTGGCGGACAAATACAGTACTAAGAAGTCTTGGCATTTATCAGGTACTTGTCTACAGCACCATGCACCATGCATGAGTGTCTTGTGTAGGATGTATCCAACACAAGACACTTGTTAGAGCCGGGTACTCGTTAGTGAGCTTTAACTTACGTAGCAGATAGAATAACGAGGTTCTAGTGTGTACGCGTGAAACAATCTTCCATCGCTAGAATGAAAACCTGAATATCGTCGGCTCACGGCGAACTAGATACACACTATGATTTGTAACATTGCAACTGTTACAGCTCGTTAGTGAGTACCTGGCATTATGAGCAATGTACGCGCAAACCTTGAACGCCCCGCTGAACGCACCGCCACGACCGTTCCGAATTTGACAGGATTCGGTTACGATGATAACACTAAATGTTAATTAAAAAAGATTACAATAAGTACCTACCTATTTATGCAGATGTCTACCTAGTGCTGGGATTTCAAAAATTTCAATTTTGAAAAATTATTTTTTTCCAGAAAAATTAAATAATTCCTGAATATTTTTCTTAGACTATTCCTTTATTTTTTCCATATTCTAAGATATTTTTCCACAAATGACAGTTGACATCTATTGAAAATACTGAACGAAAACGAGGACTGTAATAACAAGATTTTTTTAATTCTATGATTATTTTTTCTCTATTGTCCAATCATTTTAAAAATCTTGTTTAATTCTAACTTGCTTCTTACTTCTAAGTATGACTAAAAAGTCATACAATTTTATTTTCTAATTAAATCGTGCTTTATAAACTTCAAAATATATATTTAAACGCAGAACACAAGAGCCTTCGAATTATATTTTTCCAATTTTCAGAACTTTTTTCGGAAAAATTTCACACTGAAATTTTTCGAAAAATTACCAAACGGTATATCTACCTAACTTAATACGCATAACGTGTAAAACTATCTTACTTTCACAGGTTGTCTACTAGTATCAACAACATTTCCTCTACTCTTCGTGAGATGCTGGGGTTGCTGGTTAAGCACTAGCTCAGAGCCGACCTATCTCAGCTGGTGGATGCCACTGTACTACGCAATCTTAATAATTTTCTTTCAAATCGGTTGGGCCATTGTTCAAATATCACATTTATCTATGATACCGGCAATATCGGACAGTCTTCAAGTCCGGTCGGAATTAACTTCAATAAGGTACAGTGTCATATAGTACTAATCAAATAAATTCAAAATTAATAACTATAGTTTTATCGTACGTAGGTATACACAGGTGTCCCACGCCTACGGGGCACGGAGGGAAAGTAATTTAAATATTGAGGATGTGTTTCTTCATGGAAAGGGTCAATTAAGTAAAATGTCATAATCCAAATTATTATTAGATATAAATATAGAAAAGTATCCCTAAAATTTATGCGTAATGTAGTTGCTTAATTAATTTAAAATTCAGCAATATTTAGAAATAGTTTGAGGGAAGCAGTTTGCTATAAAATTTCAATAAATGTCATAAAATTTTAATAATAATTTTAATAATTTTAATTTTATTTTAAAGAAAAAAAATATTACAGGCGTTTTATGTTTATAAATATCGCTAATGTCTAACGGCAGCTGGTTTTTCGTGAGAATAGTACAGGTAGTCCCTTCGAGACCATGGACGTTGCAATATGTCCGAAACGTCGAGGTAAATAAAATATGTTTTAAACATTATTAAGTCCCGAAATAAAAATCAAATAAAGAATAGTACAGGGTCAAGAGCACGTCAAGCTTGACACTTAGGACTTAAATCCAACTCTATGCCGCTTACGATAAGAACAGTACAAATGATGTGCTCTTGATTATGCATCGCTAACTACTCGTACATTAATTTTTCGATATCGCGAAGAAGATTTTCGATTTTATTATATAAATTTTTTTATAAATTAGATTTCCTGAAATAACTAATTTTAACTTCTACTTTGATTTACCAAAAAAAAAAAAAACAATTTACGCCACGTACTCATACGATTTCTAAAATATTTTATAACTATGATTGTTTAAAAAAACACAATATACATTTTAGATAAATAGTTTAATTTCCAAAACGTTATTATTTATGTAGTAAATTTACTTACTTTCTTTCTGTACATTTGTACAGAATCTTTCAAAATTGAGTACCTAATTGCTGTTCAGCGTATGACCCTAGATAAACCACACAGACCACATAAATATTAGGTAAACCATGTATAGGTAATGTTACTAATACACTTTCAGATATATGGCTTCCGTATTGTCCAGCTTGATGGTCTACCTTATTACCTGGGTAGTTTTAAGAGCAACCAACTACAGTACTTTTATTGGGCCTACAGATGATTATAAGTTCAAGGTATACGTACATGCGACGCCTATAAAATTTATCAGCATCACTATTTACTCTATCAAAATAGCAAAAATTTAATAAATACATTAAGTATATAAAAATCCACTTCACGTATAGGACTTTGAGGTCCACGTACAATTATTAGTTTCAATAAAAATAGTACCTTAAGTCCCTTAACTTAACCTTAGGTCTTCGAGAGAAGATTGGCTCTGTATTGAATTATTGGTACGTTTGATCGCTCAGTTAATTTTGACGCTGAATGTTCCGAACTTTTAGAAGAAGTAGAGCTCCTTGTGAAAAGGTTAATCCAGGGAACTATTACCACCATACGTTTTTTTATGATACTTGACGGGACGAACGTGAGTCATGCGCCTGATGGTTCTACACGCCTACCCATAACATAGGTACCTATTTCTCTCTCCAAACAGTAGTGTGACCATTATGCTTTCCGGTTTTGAAGGGTAAGGGCGTTGTGGAAATTATAGGCACATGGGACTTGTTAATTTTATGTCGGGTGACGGGCGCAATGGCAATGCCCCTCAGATATTTGCAATTTAAAATTTTGAGCGGCACTGCAACTGTTATGGACAGTTGTGTCGCTTACCACCAGGCGCAAGACTTTTTTGTCCCGTCATTTGGTATCATAAAAAAGGTATATGCTTAATTTAATAGGTACTTATAATAACATTGTGTTTTTCAGGACGTAGCAATAATAATATCGGCGATAGGTATCACATCCTACACTTTGTTCCATATATTTTTCAAACTACAGCCATACAAAGAGCACAAAGCTAACGGCCATAGCAATGGAAGCAATGCGCTTTTAAACGAAGAGAGTGAATCCATGACATTCGCTCGAAGATCAAAAATTATATATTTCTTGCGAATGCCTTTGCTCTATCAAACCAGTCTACTGTAAGTATTAACAACATAATATTGTAATCTATATAAACGATTACTTCACATAATAAGGTTTCTTAATGTTTTATACTAAAACCTTCCCATAGAAATACTTAAGTGACATAATTATAAAAATGGATAAAGTATTTTATTTAGTAAATCTTGCTCATCTATATACAAACAATGGAAACGCAGTCCTTTTATTCTTGAGTGTATTAAAAATAGAGGTGTCCACGTTGTTAAGTAATTGAAGAGAAACTTTAAAGGGGTGGTTTAATATCGTTAACAGTATTATGTATTGATAGAAATAATAATAAGTAATAAATAATAGACAACACATACATTGCTCTAATTCCAAAGTAAGTAACTAAAACACTTGTGTTACGGAAATCGGAAATGACGACGGTACCACAAATACCCAGACCCGAAACAATAAAGAAAAGTTAGTTTTCTACATTGACCAGACCGGGGATCGAACCCGGGACCTCAGAGATGTCGACACCCTGAAAACTGGTGTGCAAGTCCATCACGGAGGTCGTCAAAAGAAATAAAGTAAACATTGTTTACTGTGCCATACATCGTGTCGAATAAATGCGCCCTTACGCTGACTAAACAACAAAACTGAAACTAAATAAGAAACCGATTGGAGGGGGTTGTAGATCTCGTTTTGCTCAACGGAGATAATATGTTAATAACTCAAATTCGTCAAAAATGTTTATTTACATTAGTTATGATAAAGAGGGCGTAATATGTTTCTGTTCAAAAGTGACTAGAATAAACTAAATCCCTTTTTTCGTTTTGCAGATATGTGTTCTCACGGCTGTACTGGGCGCTGAGTCTGGTATACGTACCGTTGTTCCTGGAGGAACGCTTGTCGGTCAACCCTAGTCAAGGCTCGGAGCTTGTGGCGAGTGTACCTCTCGTGCTTTACATATCTTCTTTCTTCCTTTCACTTGTTCTTAAGAGCAAAATCAGCAGCTGTGGAAATCAGGTACAGTCACTTTTCAAAGCGGACAAGTTACTCTTAAGCCCAAAAGGACAGACTTTGTTGGTGGCATTTGCGTTCAATTTTGTAGTTTAAAACGGTGATTTATTTATTCGATTTGTCAACAGAAATACATTATTAAACATCGACATAAAATAACGCTGCAGAAATTACTCAAGTTTAAACCCAATAATAGGCGAATATAGCATGCGTACATTGCATTGTTTCAAAAGCGGTAATATTTAATACCTATATTAGAAACAAATGGATAATATTGTAAACAATTATATAAACGTATTAAAATTAAATTGTAAAGTTACAATATATCTGTTGTTAGTTCGAGCAGTTATTTATTTATTTATTTATTGAAAGATACACCATCAATTCAAACGCGGTCGTGTGAATCTCAGTGACGAATTTGGTGATGGTCGCCCATACACTGTTGTGAACAACAAAAACATCGATGCTGTGCGCCGTATGATCAAAACAAACAAGCATGTGACGTACCATGAGATTCGGGCATCTTTAGGCATAGTCATGAGTCAAGTACAATCAATACTACACAAACATTTGGGTGTGAAAAAGCTGTGCTCTCTGTGGATCTCACATTTGACTGAGGCTCAAAAAAGGGATCGCGCCACTTGGTACAATGCCAGGCTTACCAGATTCAATGAAGGGGCGTCAAATTTAGTGTGGGACATAGTAACAGACGAAACATGGATTTATAGTTACGATCCCAAAACAAAGCAGCAATCGAGCGTATGGGTCTTTCGAAATGAGCCGAAACCAACCAAAGTAGCGCATGTGCAAAGTGCCTCTAAGCGGATGATGGCTTCTTTTTTTAATAAAACTGGACACGTGGCTACTGTTGCTTTGGAGAATCGTTGTACCGTGAATAGTGATTGGTACCAGAACATTTGTTTGCTGGAAGTAATTGACAAACTCTGTAAAAATAACCGTAAACACCGTATCATCTTGCATCACGATAATGCCAGTTCTCACACGGCCAAACACATATGAATTTTTGAAGGTGAACAATGTTGACCTTATGAGCCATTCCGCGTACCTCGACCTGGCACCTTGTGACTTTTATTTATTTCCAAAAATTAAGAACCAGTTACGCGTTCAACGATTTTCATCACCTGAAATGGCTGTATGAAAAATATGCTTCAGAGATTGTCACGGAGGAGTGGCAGAAATGTTTTCAAAATTGGTTCATTCGTATGAAAAAGTGCATTAACGCTAACAGAGAATATTTTGAGAAACAATAAATTAACTTCTGGCCATTTATAGTATTTTTTCTTATTCATTCCGGAAACTTATAGTGCGCCACACGTACTATACTAATAGTTTTAAATTTATAAAATAAGAATAAGAACAAACCCAAATTAGATGACCTGTTTATATGTTTTATAACTTTGAAAACAATTGAGGGAAATGTTACTTGCAATCAAACTAACTCCACATGTTGTTATAATTAAATTATTTATTGTTACAATTTATCATCCTAGTACTTCATGACGATTTTATTTCAGGTGGCCTATCTCATAGGCAGTTTTCTGAGCATGATCAGCAGTCTCTGGATAGCGCTGGCGATAGATCCCCAAGCTAGTATTGTGCAGATATATTTGGTGGCTACTTTGATTGGTATGTTGATTACAATGAGTTGTTCGACATAAATTTATCAAACAAAGACAGGTCGCTAAAGCAATTGATCAATACAAACCTCAATTTATTCCAACCAAAGATTAGGTTTGTGAACTTTTCCTTGAAGTTTCCTTCGGTTAAAGTATGCCTTATTTTTTTAATGTAATTACATAATAATATTACAATTGGTTTTTCAAATTACATAACATACAGGCGCAGGCAGTTCAATAACGCTGGTGTCCAGTCTTTGCGTCACAGCGGACCTCATAGGTCCTCACTCTCACCAGGGCGCTGCCATATACTCGATTGTGACCTTCGCGGATAAACTAGTCACTGGTATCGCCGTTGTTGCCATTGAAAATTAGTGAGTATTATCAGTCCAAAGAAGTAAATATTCAAGTTTTAAAGCTTGTTTGTCCGCGGCTGAGACTTTTAGACCAACGGCGCCAATGCCACCTGCGACAGACTGCAAAAGGCTTGATTGGAAAAAAGTATATTTTTGTTTACGATAAACTAGTAGTCTAAATAATTTTTACTTTTGGATTTTTGTTTGGGATCAGTATGATTTTCAAGTCCGTATATCTCGTACGTATGTGTAGCTATTAGGGTTTGTGCAAACTTTTTTCTCCATTCCTGTTGTAAAGACACGGGCCTATTTTTTTCGCGTATAATCAATTAATGAAATTATTTTTTTAAAACTGAACATTCAAGTCTTTACTCCAATCACGCAAGAATAATGAAACACTGTGTTACTTTGGCAAAGTATTGTTTACTTGAAGTTAGTTTATTTGCATAAACATTTTGAAATAACGATGCGGCCAATAAATATAATGCGACACTAATACTAAGTCAATACAATTACTACAGATGATGCGGTTTCACTACAGAACCTTTCAAGTGTATTACGAAAATACATAATAATGTTATGGTTTACACTAATAGAAGATTATACCTTAATCAAGTACAGTCAAGAGCACGTCGAGTTAGACAATATGAAATTTGGCCGTTATAATTCTAATCTTAAGTGCCATTTTCCGAGTGATTCGCCGCGGCAATGAGTATGGTATATAAAATGAGTAATGAATGAGTTATTTGAATAAATAAGAGAAGCGCGCGGCCAGCCGCCCGCGATTAGCTGCTTAGGCTCAATTTATATTGCGGAGGAACGGAATAGAAGCGAATTTTTGTAACGATATTGTACATAACATATTGAATTATATGGTCAGTTGTGTAACGTACAAACTAGATACGAGCCAAAATCTTACACGGAATTCTCGCGCATGGTCGAGAATGCTCGCGCATTCCGTAGAAGGTTTTCGCTCGTATCTAGTTTGTACGTTACACAATTGACCATAAAGTTCATTATGCTATACACAATATCGTTACAAAAATTCGCTTCCATTCCGTTCCGCCGCAATATAAATTGAGCCTTAGGGGAAAATGCATATAAGTGTCAAAATTGACTGCTTTCACCATCTTACTAGGTACTACAAAAAAGAAACATAGAATATATACGCTTCTTAAAACTACCACTACTGTTCTGTCAATATGCAAAGACACTAAAAACAAATGTTTCAAGCGTATGTCTTTTCTTTTTTCAGCAAATGCGCAGACGCAGCTGATTGCCCACAGTACTACAGAGGTGTGTTAACATACGCGTGTGGAGGCAGTGCTTTTCTAGGCATAGTTTCCTTATCGTTTACTAAACTTATGTCCAAAAAGAAATCCCTGGTGTGACAAAATCTGTTTTGTTTTTGCAGAGCACTTTTATTTCTTAAGAATAAATACTAAAAGCATCGTTCCTACAGCTATAGCTATACGTAATATGTTAATTTGTGAATTCTATGTTTATTTTTTGCATTTTTTGTGTATGTGTGATAGTCAGACTACAACCGTCAGTTTACAGTACTAATATAAAAATAGAATATGTAGGAATTAGTAACTTTACACTTGTTTTATTGGATTCAATTTAAAAACACTAAGAAAAGGGTCGTAATTGTATCTTACATCTTTATATGTTAAATTATTATATAATTCAAATCGCAAATAACTTCGACCGCATTTCGCCTTAGCTTTATTTACAATGGCATTCACTTTTTTCACCGCTGTTACAGCCAAAGATATGCGGAGAGACATATAGTACAGATTTCGGCAATTTTCAAAAATTGTTTCTGGACTCATAAAGCCACTTGTCACGATACATACATCCTGAATGTGAACGTTTTCCAGATGTTTGCATTGACTCAAAGAAGGAAACAGAGTTTTGAAGTCTATTACTTTGTCAACAAGACGAAAGTTTTTCAAACTTCGACTGATTGGTATGGACCTCGAAATGAGAGGGGCACAAGAGGACACAGGAGACGCTTCAACGTTTAAAGTGACTAAACTGGTGCAATTACGAAACAAAACGTTAAAAAATCCTCTTGTATAACGCACAAAACCTGTCAAACTCATGTAAGTTACCTTACGAAGATAATCGGATGTTATAGGTAGTGACACGGGATTGTGTATTTGACAACTACTGAAGTCAAAAGACAACTGTACACTCTTGTACTCTTTAAACTCATCATCAAAAACTAAAGGCACACTTTCTAGTGCAACCCTACGTTTTTTAAACATAGGCGGAGACATTAAATCAGAAGGGCGATCTGAAATTTCATATTCTATTTCTTTTATTAAGAACCAATTTCTTAACTCAGATTCAGATTGCTTTTCTTCACAAGGGAAACAATCAACAACTCTTAGAAACAATTTCCGATAGAATGTGTTATCAAATTGTGTTGTTTCCATGTTCCACATCATCAATATAAGATTTGTGTGCTTTCCAACTGGATGAGTTATAATATCAGGTTCAAATTTACTTTCTGGGTCAGCCTCAATGCCAAATTTTTCTTGGAAAAATTCTTTAAAAATGTCAGAGCAAATAACTCTGCATGAGCCTAATTCGAATGCAATCACAATAAAAGCATATTTGAATTTATAATTAAATGTAAACTTCGAAAATGGATTTTGCCGGTACACAGAAGGAAACACCCAATTCAAATAACACACACAAAAATGATTGAAGTGGAGTGGTACACACTCCGCAAAATTTGGGAATGCAGGAAAATTTTTATCGAGCTTAGCAACCGTAAAATGTATCACATCTAAGTGTATGCCTTGTAACATAATTAGTGGGACACTACAGAACAATAAATTCGCAAGGCTTCCTACAAAGAGGACTTTTTCCATCTTTTGAAACATTTTTCGAAATCTTGCTATTGTCTCATCAGGCAATGTATTAGGTACATGAAAATCAATAGCTACATTCTTTATAGTGGAGCATACATCATATATGGTTGGTAAGTCCAAAACATTAATGTTTGTGTAGGAAACATCTAATGTTTTTAAGTTTTTCATTCTGTTCAAAGCTAATACCAGTGCAGTTTTATTCATATTAGGTACACCGCACAAGTTTAACTCTTGTAAGTTTCTAGAAATATCCTTGACAAAATCTAAATTCAGTGTCTTAACTGTTGCTAGTGAATTCATTGAGAAATTACACTGTTTGATAACTCCTGGCATGCAGAGAATGTTTCTGATAGGCTTACTGTTGGCATTGTACAAATTTAATTGAGATATAGTGTCCAGCAGTCTGATTATTATAATTAATATTTCTTCAGGAAGAGTTTCCAAACTCATTTTGCTGGCAAATTTTCTGAAAAGAAGAAAAAGTAAGTATTCATTTTATTCACAATTAAAAAAAAAATGTTATTTTCTTCTTAAGAAACTGTTAGGTGTGCGAGTGTTGCCTTAACAGGGCTCTACTATGAGTAGTAGAGCCCTGTTTAGGCAACACTCGTACTTACGTAACGTATGTAACGTACGTAATCATATCTCTATTATTATATCATCTTTCTGTAGCTACAGCTATCTTTGTAATTATAACATGGGTATACACTTCTTAAAGACTTAGAATGTATATATGTGTTAAATTAAATTGGGAGTTAACATAAATTATTTCCAAATGTTGTATATTTATCTATAGACTATCAGGCTCGTCCTGACATTAAAATAATAATCATCATTGACTTTAAAAAAGTGTTCTTGAATTATTTTACAGAATGAAACATGAGGCTCGTCACCTTATATGTATTTAACAACGTATTTAACTGCATGCATGAAGAGCATAAAAGCAAAATTATTAGTGGGAATTAGCAGAATATCTACAGTCTAGGTTCGGGGCTAAGAGCGACAAATTGAAATGATCATTGTCTGCAAAAAGCAACAGCGTCATCTAAGCATTACATTTATCATTAGTAGCAGTGGAGCTCCTTGCGAAAGAGTTCATCCAGGAACATACTGCCACCTTATTTACTTGTGTCACTGAGCAGTAATGTGAGCATTACTATGTTTCAATTTTGAAAGGAAAGTGCTGGTGAAATTACAGGCACATGGTACTTGTTAACTTATGTTATTTATTTTAACTGCCTCCGTGGCCGAACGGTTACCATGCCGGACTGCCACGCAGAGGTCCCAGGTTCGATTCCCGGGCCGGGAAAAATAGTTGTATGGCCTACAATTATTTCTCTCGTGAGTTTGGGTGTAATTTGTGGTTGTCTATGTGTGTGTCCATGGCACCCGCGACACAGGGTTTCCCTAGTGCGGGGCTATGTTGAGTGTGTGCGTTATGTGTGCGTTATTTATGTCTCAGGGTGATGGGCGCAGTGACAGTGCCCTTCAGATTTTTGCGATTTAAAGCTCTGAGTGGCACTACAATTGCTATGAACTGGTATGTCGCTTACCACCAGGCGCACGATTTGGTCATCCCGTCACTTTGTGTCATTTAAAAGAAATACATATTACTGTCAGTATATAAAGAGTACAACATACGAATTCACAAAAAAAAATATATTTCTTTCATTTAATTTTTACTAATACATTTGGGTCTTGATGTAGAGACCCTTATATAATAAAATATCATAATTACCCTGAAGTATATCATGGCAAAATACTGTGCTTGTCATGGTAAGGATCGGGGACCGGCAAGATTATAAATGTGTGCTATTATTTTGAAATGAGAAGGAAAGTTGGTAATTTTAGGTAAAATTTTTGTATAGTTCTTCCAGATCAATAATGGCAAACTCCGAAGGTTAATGTATTATGCACCTAGTCATACAAGACACATTCACAAGTAAACATAAAAATATTTTAAAAAGAACCCTGTGCATGGTATGGAATTGTGTAATGGGCTGGTGGTGTCCGCAACACAACGCTTAGGCGCATATTGGACTTGTCGAAGAAGAACCATGTATTGAGTTAAAATATTTCTGACAATAATAAAATAAGTATAAACCATTCCTAGCTGTGTTCGAAATATTATTTACAAGAATTTATAAGAGCATGCTTACCAGAACTATCGATTAGAGAACTTGCAATCTATTGGCAATTAAAAAAGGAAAGCCTCATTCGCAATGTAATTTTTCTTAGCGAAATTTAAGTAAGGTACGAACCAGACAACTGCTTGTCAAGCACTCAAGCAGTTCAAAAATTTTTTTTTTTAATTTATTAAGGCTTTGGCAAAGCCATCAGCCTCAACATGAAGTTTAATTATGTTTCTGTAAACATGGCCGTCACAAAGACGATAGGCAATTTGAGGCGGGCGGCGTGCTTGTATTTACTCGGGATTCCTTAAAACAGGCCGATACGGGTGTATTTTAGTTCGAGATTCGTATAATTTCGCGTTCTAATCTTCAATTAAGGCACAATAGCGCTATCCTATTCCAATTTAAACTAGATTCATAAAATAATTGAAAGTCAAAATAAAAACGACGCTTTTCCCTCCAAAAGGTCCAGAGCGAATCTCAAAAAAAAAATCAAGCTTCCACAGACTTGCTAGTTGCTTTTTTTGTTGTTTTTTTACGGCTCTGGGTACTTTGATTTCAGTTGCTATTGTAATCAGCCAGCATCCCAAAAATCAAAGCAATCGAGTTGTGGGAAATTTGAGCAATATTCAAATTTCCCACAACTCGAGTTATCATTATTTATCATAAATCCATCGCATAAAAATATAATAAAGAAAAAACACTCAAAATTTAACCATCATGCGTTTGACGTGAATGTAAATGACAAACAGAATGTGAAACGTAAAGCAAATTACATTTCACATTCTTTATGTAAATATACTTTTAAAATGCAAAACCAAGTGCTATCCCACCGAATAATTTTATACAAGCGGCTTACTTATAATAGGATATACGATGTTGAAAAAAATATCCATATTGTTCATCATAGTGTTTTAATCAGTAGCCATCAAACTAGCGATGCGTCAATAATAAATTGGTTAAACAAAATGTTAAATGTTAAACGAATCCGGCCGGATCGAAGGATTTTTTCTGAGTGTTTGATCTTTGTATTAATAATTATAACAAACTAGTCGAGCAATATCACATAAAAAATAATTGAATATCAATTTAATAAAAATTTAAAAATGTTAAATTACCATTTCCGCAAACCGTATCCTCGCGTTTTCCCCAAATAGCGTCAATCCCCACAAAATTCCCAATCAAGTTGAATTTTCTCGTAATTTGGGCAACACTGATTGTGGCTTGGTTTAGTGCTGCCAGGGCCCATAAGTCAAAAATTACGCATAGTGAAAAGTAATAATTTTTAATGCAAAAGTTACATTTTCGTTTTTTTTAATCAAAATTTGTAACAACTATAAAGATAAGCAACGAAATATTAGCCTAGATCTTAAAAATAAAAAACTAGGTGCAGTCAAGAGCACATAATTTTTTTCCATTCTATAAAAGGGACCATCCATTATCCTGCATTGCAGTCCGCCGAGCCGTCCGCCGTGTAATGCAGGATTATGAATGTAGTCGTAGCGTGCAAGGCACCCTGCAATCCTGCAATCCGCCCTACGAGACCACATACGTGGGCCACATAAATTAGATGTGGGCCTTATGCAGGATAGTATGTGAGCAGTTCCTGCCTGCGCGGCGCACAGCCATAGTGGATTCACATTGCACAAATTCTGGCAATATATTGCCGCAACTTATCGCGTTGCGCGACATGACTTTGAGTTGACCAATCAGGTACTGCGACCTTAGCTCATAATTGGTCAACTCAAGGTCATAACGTGGAACGCGATAAATTGCGGCAAAATATTGCCAGAATTGTTCATTGTGAATCCACCTTAAGGGTGGAACTTTAGTAGAACTTTGGTGGAACTTTGGCATGGATACAAGACTGATATTTAACTTTTGGGATCCTCAAAAAATATTTTCTATCGTGTTTTTAATGTTGTAGAATGGCAAAAAGTATTTTAAGTTTATTAAATAGTCTTTTAAGCGGCGGGAGCATTATTCATGTTTTGACTTTCACAAAATCACCTCGTTTATTTGCTATTAGAAGACGTTGAATTTTGAACACAACTTAGTAGGTATTTCTTCACGTATGCTTCTATACCATTTGCCTTTTTTATCTTGTTCGTTCTTTCAGAAATTTTTCCATTATGTTGTTATAATTTTATTTGAAAATTTTGAATCTTTTAACTTCCTTTCACTTCAAATTCCCGCCATTTTTTTATAACTCAATACTTCTATACTTTAATATTAATCACAAACTACAAAGAGATACGAATATAATAATTGTGAAGTCTGGTCGAAATAAAAAACACACAATAAGCTAATTCATCTTCTCTATCAAAGCGAAAAACTTTTTTTTATAATATTAAGTGACGGAACGAACAAGTCGTTCGCCTGATGGTACGCTACACGCCTGTCCATAACAGTCACAGAGCTTTAAATCGCAAAGATCTGAGGGGTACTGCCGCTGCGCCCGTCACCCTGAGACAAACGTTGACAAGTCCCATGTGCCAGTAATTCACCAGCACCCTTACCCGTCAAAACCGGAACACCGTAATGCTGACATTATTGCTTGGCGGCAGAAATAGGTATGGTGGCAGTACTTCACTGTACGAACACTTTCACGTACAATTATTTCAGTCAAATATGTAGTATTAATAAAACATAAGTGAATTTTATTTTGCGTTACATTGGGTAGACAAATTGGATGGTCTTTTGCTTAAACGGGCTACCTAATCTTGAATGTATGATACGTCAATAATAGCGTTACCATAGCATTGCAATATAAAACAGTGGCGTTACGTTCCATGGCCTTTTCTCTCTTATACGAGGAATTACACGGTTCATCCAAAGTTGTTCTCCACGAACATCGAGTATATAACCAGAAATAGAGACGAAATGTCATTTAATTTATTTGAAAACTATTCTGCCATATCATTACTGTGACAACTGCGCTCCGATTGGCTAGCCCGAGTTCGAAACAGTTGACGGGTGTCGTCAACTGTTTCACTTCAAATCGTCCAGTTAACTTGAGCTTTGCTATAATGGACGGAAGTTGCAAAATGACATAGTTGCATAATTACCGATGAAATGTGATTCCGTTTGTTTTGTAATTAGATGTTTTGCTGTTTTTCCCACACCACCGAATAGAACAACACGGCATTGTTAGAGATATTATCTTTATTACAATAAATACAGAATATTTATTGGAATATACGGAGACGTACACACAGGTCAGTAGTGCAAACCAGAGTAGATTTACAAGAGCTGTATCGCTAATGTGTTACCAGAAATAAATGGCCCTTGTTTCGTCTCTATTTCTGGTTATATACTCGATAACCACGAACAATTTGGATGTACGTACTCTCGGAGGTACTACAATAGTATTTTTTAAACGTCACAAAACAATTATTTTACATATTTACGTTAATACCACCCATTAATATGTTGTAATTAAAGTCCACAAAATAATAATTGATAATATTAATGCTAATTAATATTTTACAATAATTTTGTTCATATTTTTTTTATTTGCACTCGGTGGAAATGGATAACTACATCAAGAATAGGTATAATGAGTTTATCAAGTAATCTGCCCAAAAATGTTTTGGAGTCTTATTTTAAAATATTACGTGTTTAACCGAAAATAACACACAGCTACTTTCGATTAAATTATATTTTCAGTGAATTTTTAATCCAATGTAAACCAATGTATATTGTATATTATTTAGGTATGCTCAGTTATATCCACAGAAATTAAACTGAAAATTAAGAAATAGGGATGCCACGCCTTTTTGTCATTATTCGTGGTGGACCCTGATAACGTAATATATGAGTTGATTTTAGTTGTTAGTGTTATTAATTTGACAATAATATTATGACAATGACAATGTCCTAAATCAGTCGATATATTTATAGCATCGATTCTTAATTTTACTGATCGTGTTTCGTCATGGGTTTATACCGCACCCTGCATTAAAGGGGCCTCCTCGTCTACGTACTACTCCTTTCCTGTACGTCTAGCGCACCCCTGGACAGCATTCATTTCGCCGATTGGCTAATACTTTCATTGTGATGGCTAGTATTATTATAGAGTATGCCAAGAGGCTGGAAAAAAATAGTATAAGATGCCATCGATAAGAACGACAAAAAGATTGGCTCGAGAAGCCATTAAGTGCATGATGGCAAAGCCAAGTTATTTAAAAAAAATACAGTTACATCCCTTAAAGGATGGAAAAAAAGTCTAAGTTACATCCTGACACATTTTACAAATACTTTGGTAGAGTTGACCGTTTAAACTGACACGTTAGCTTAATATATAATTATTTCTATTACTTGACATGACGCGACGGCTACCATAAGCATTACCACCAAAAATATCGAACCGTTGCCGTTGACTACCACTATTAGCACGGCTAATATGTTTGCCGACAAACAAAAATTTCTATCTATTTATATAGGTATTGTTACCGACAATTAAAATTAATTTTAAGACCCTTTGCAACTAACACACTAGTCGTTTAATATTAACTTGTTTAATAATAACACATTACATTTTTGTCTAATTTTAATTAATTTTTTTATTAATTTGCCTATGTTTTAGTTACAACTTATAATAACTATAAGTAACAAAAAAATGTATGAATATCAAACGTGTAGATTTACATGTGTTGGTGAGTCTGTACACGATTACCAAATGGTTGCAACGGGCGCGGCATTAGTATAGTGCAGCACTATAAAGCAAAGAACCACGTCCTTACAAAGAAAATTGTAAAATGGCTTGTAACAAATAATTCTATCAATGAAAAGTGAAGAACACAAAAGCTTATGCACAAAATAAATAAAATTTAAATGCTATTATTGGCAAAAAATAAATATCACGACATCGCCGGAAGTTGCGTTTGTGAAAAAGCTGGCCACATTGTGATTATATACGTAATAGAGTTTAAAATGTTCTGGTAGTATTTAATACTACATACTACGTATACACAAACGCAGGGCGTTAAAATGATTCGATCTTAGAAGTGATACAGCATTTAATAAGTTTCACATTGTATAACGTATTTGTATAATCATTTCTAGTCCAATAACTTTAATTTTATTGTGTAATAACATTTAATTCACCAGACTGGATAAATGTTTATGCAAATATAAAACAATTTGATTGAAGATCAATATTACTGTAGTACCGTTACCGTGTAAATAAATTTACATTCACTTCATTTAATACGTCATGCTCTCCACACGCAAAATAGGCGCCTCGACGTCGAGTTGCGGACACCAGCCCGTTACACCAAGTACCAAGTACGTCATGCTCACGTGATCTTTTTTACACAAACCTATGGACAGTGGAGATTGAACGTTACTTTTTATGCTCTGATTGGGTGGTAAGCTACATCAAACAATGTCGCTGATATTTTGTTAAATGACCTTGTGCATGAATAATAATGTAATTCGTAATTTCTAAATTACGAATTACATCAATGACAGAAATTGTCAAAATTAATTTTATCATTTTATTGTGCATTACGTCAATCTTATGCCGTTGAAATTTGTAGTTACAATAGCAATAATTGGTGAATGACTTTTATAACTGGCTGAAGGCAGCACATAATTGCTTACTTATTCGTGCTGTTCGATTTGCCAAACGAGGATGAAATCAGAATCTGTAAATGAGTAAAATTACTATTTCAAGGCCAATTTGCTATTGTTGTGTTCAAGATTCTACGCAATAAAAATAATTGTGTATGTGTAGAAATATACACCTATATTATTAAACTTATATGAAAGTGGAATAAGATCGACACAATCACAAATATTAACAACTACGGATTTAAGACAGAGTTGCTGATTTCCTTAAAAAATCTTATTAAATTTGCGAAGGATTAATATCCTTCGCAATTATATATTTAATAATATATAATTGCGTAATTTTATATAATATAATTTTGAGAGATAATTCTCTCAAAAAAAAACAAAATAGTAAGCGAATGGCGAATTAACAGTTGAGCATCGCAATCGAGTTTGATATCTATTCCTGGATTAGTTACTTTGTTTCCAACTCTATTGGATGCCTGGCAGCTGGCAAATGGCAATATGGCTGTGGCTTTCGAGTTTCGCTGGTAGTGTGCGGTGCTCACATCATTTCTACCGTAGACCGAAGTATTTCCGACGGCTCTAAAGTTTCATTTTTAATTTTTTTGGTGTTCACTGTTTCTGTTTACCTTGTTTTAAACAAAGTTTTGCGAGGAAATTACTGATTTTTCATTTCCGTCGTCACCAGAATCATGCCACGACAAAATGGCGTCGCTTGACAAGGTTTTACTGCAAAAATATTTTCTCGTATTTCTTGAGCCAATTCCTAAAATATGTTTGAAAAAAATATTTCTGGTGTTAACTTAAATTTTTCTCCATTTCTTTCATTGGTTTTCACTAATATCACTGAGAGATTTTATTAGTAACAGTGCATTATTTGGAAAATCTACAAAATGCTTCAGGTAAGTGTTTTTAAAGCTTGTTTCTTCATTGTTTTAGTGTAAATATTTATTTTACCTTTATTTTTTCAATTAATGTAGTTGGGAATCATCTAGAACCGCAGGGTGTGGTCCTAGAAGGGGGCGAATTTTTGAGACGTAATTCTGAATTTACAGGTTTCTTTGATTGTTTACAATATAATTTCGTGTTTTTATGTATTAAAATATCTTTGTTCCACCAAAAAAAGTGTTTCCAATGATTCTTGGTTACGTAATCCTTCAATCCAAGGCAGTGAAATAAATTTTGGAATGGGACCCATTTTCGCAATTTAACTTTGAAAATGGGTCTTACCATTGAGTGTTTAAGCCTTTGAGGTTATGTTCTTTGTTTCTGGTAAATATAGGCTTATATGGTTCAAATAAAGTAGCCCTGCTTAAGATTTTTTGCTGGTTTTTCTTGAGCAAATATAGTGCATAAAGTTATATATTTTTTAATTTAATTTGGTCTAAACAACTTGTATTTTATAGGTTATGACTTGTGAAGTGATGCATTTAATTCTCCTTATATGTGGCATCAATGTAAAATATCCCAAAATGTGATGGTTGTCTGTATTTTTGGGCTAGCAAATTTTTTTGACAAGAAATTACATCTTGTTTTGTGTATTTTATGGAAAACAGTGCCTCGCAATCGGCTGAGAATTTGTTGACATATTGAATATTAAAATACTTCCTTGTAACTCCTGTGACTTATGCTACAGAAAGCAGTATTTATAATTTAGTGGAATAATAAGATATGTTGTGATATTGCGAGTCCCTTATGCCTTCTGAAATGCAAAGACGCTGCATGTAATGACACGTCACTGTCAGGAGTTTATCGAGTTACAGTAAGCAAAAAATATGTTAGTGGTATATTTAGGTTCCTTTCCTAGGCTCATTAGTATCAGCAGTATGCTTGGGTATGTTGTGTCATGTTGGTTGGAATAAAACTTTGTCAAAATTTTAAAAATTCTTACAAGTAATTCATCATTGTTGCAGAAAGGATTCATGAATGAGTCTGGAAGCGAGTCCACAAGTGACAAAGGAGAGAAGAGCGACTCCAGCGGATCAGGATCCGGTAGCGAAAGGTAGGTTTCTTCAATATTTGATAAACCTTGGTTGATGTGACGTGATACCTTCTTCACCGTCCACATTTTTCTTTAACAGTGATAGCGGTTCTAGCTCATCCGCCTCTGGGTCAGGCGATCGATCTGGTTCAGACAAATCATCTGCAGGAGATAGGTCACATCATAGTGATGACACTAGATCATCACAAAAACACAGTAATCCCAATTCTTCAAAATCAGATCATCCCACTGACAAAGACTCTTCAGGTGAAGATGGACATAAGTTCAAATCTAGGAATAATCATGGAAAAGTGACATCAGATATCTGGGAAGATAACCCAGATATATATGGAATCAGAAGATCAGGCAGATCCCGAAAGGAACCAGATAGACTCAAAATTGTAGATAGTGATTCCAGTGACAGAGGGAAAAGCAACAGAAGAAAAAATAGAAAAAAGAGGTATATTTGGCAGCTCCCAAAAGTAATTAAGCCTTTTCTTACTAGTATTAGTAATGATTTTAACAGTTTTCTTATTTTTAGTGATTCATGGAACTCTGATACGTCAGACAGTGATAGTGATTTGAAAGGTTCACCCCCTCCACCATCAAAGCGACCAGGCCAAAGAAGTGTACCACTGAGAAAAAGAAAGCCAACTAGAAGAAGAAGGTTTACTAGTGATGAAGAAGAAAGTTCTGAAGGATCAGATGAAGATACTAAAAGGTAGGTGTTAGGGTTGGTAGGTTTATATTTTTAAAGTATGTTTTACATTTTTGCAACATAAGAGCTATTTTCTTCAGCCGAACAGCAACAAGAAGGACTGGTGCAGCAGTTAGTTATAAAGAAGCTAGTGATGAACAAACAGATTCTTCTGATCTTTTGGAAGTGGAAGGTGTAGATGGTGAGGGTGAAGCTGAACCGGAGCCAGAAGATCATAGTGAGACCATTGAAAGGGTTCTTGGACACAGAAGAGGGAAGAAAGGAGGTAAAGTGATGTTGTTTTTTTGTTTTTTTTTGTATATTTCCATATAATTAAAGTATCTAGTTATATCAACGGTTGTGATAATTTGCATTTTGGTGCAAGTATAATGTTAAATTTTAGCTAATGTCTTCTTATCATTGTGCAGTCACTGGCAATGTGACTACAGTTTATTATATCGAGGAACATGGAGATCCAAATGAAGGGTGTGATCCTAAAGATGAAGAAACCACTGAGCCTCAGTATCTGATCAAATGGAAAGGTTGGTCCCACATTCACAACACATGGGAATCTGAGAAATCATTAAATGAACAAAAAGTTAAAGGTCTTAAGAAGTTAGAAAACTACATAAAAAAGGAGGCTGACCTTTCTTGGTGGAGACAACAAGCAGGGCCTGAAGATATTGATTATTTTGAATGTCAAGCTGAGCTACAACAAGAACTAGTAAAGACGTACAACTTTGTAGAGAGAATAATAGGTAATTATTTTGTTATTATTACAATATTATATATATAAATATTTATATATTATATTATATGTACTCATTACATAGTATTTTATTCAAATTCCTTATTTCTTTATTTAGCTGAACAAACACGTGAATTGGAAGGAGGTGGTACTGCTCATGAATATTTTTGTAAGTGGGAGTCATTGCCATATGCTGAAGCTACATGGGAAGATGCTTCCTTAATAGATAAGAGATGGCCTGAACAAGTAGAGCATTTCAAATACAGAGAAGCGGCCAAAACTACCCCATCAAGGCACTGTCCTGTTTTAAGAAGAAGGCCAAAGTTTCATCAACTCAAGGAGCAACCTGAATATATGGGCAAAGATCAGGTTTGTAGCCTCTAGAGTCTCATATCGGTATCTATTTTTTGTTTTTTACTCAGTAATGCTCACATTACTGCTTGGTGGCAGAAATAGGTAAGGTGGCAATACTCCCCTGGACAAACTTCACAAGCTCTACAGCTACTAAAATATGTTTCATGCAGTAAAATTTTGTCTTTATACCTTAATTGAGACTTGATTTTGTAACAATAAAAAGTGGCAGGCCAGGAATTATTTACATAAAACATGATTTTCACGTCATTAGAAGCTGGACTGAAATAGTTTGCATATAGGACATTACCAAAATAATAATTTTCTTCCACAATTTCAGTCTTGTATATTGAGAGACTACCAAATGGATGGTTTGAACTGGTTAATACATTCCTGGTGTAAAGACAATTCGGTGATACTTGCTGATGAAATGGGTTTAGGAAAAACCATACAGGTAAGTTTACCTAAGTATATGTTTCGGTTGTTATTCTCATGAAAGCCATGGGGCGGCGTTAATGCCTAATTGGCTTTATTTATAACATAACGGTAGTTATTCGTAATTTTCGATTGACTGTCGCACACTTTGGACTACTATAGTACATTTTTTCTTTGTATTATAATAAATACTCCTAATTTAGAATTAGAATACGTTAATTTTCTAATGCAACACATTTTCTATAAAAATGATTAATTCATAAAAACGGAAGTGAAAAATTTGTTACGGCTGTGGATCATGCAAAATTGTTGAATAATTTTTCATGCAGTTAATTTTCCCACCCTACCTCCGCGTAATATTAATAAAATAAATGACACAAGCTTTGCTATTTTGCACGATTTAATCTCCACTCGGTTCGCGGTCTAGTAATATAATTCACTTCCATTATTATTAGCATTAATAGATTCCACTAAATTCATTCCTTTTCTTACAAAATTATTAGTTTAATTTTGTGGTTGTTTTACTTAATTTTTTAACTTTTACTACATGACAGTTCCATTCATGCGTCATATATGGCGTAGCACTTAAAAAATTAGATTTCTCAATAGAACGAGCTCAAGAATGTAAACTTGATTTGTTGTTATTCGAAAACATTAATTCTACTGATATTTTTTTCACACGCTGAGCTGACTATTTATTACTCGGGCAGCTTTTCGCATTTGTCTTGTAGTTTTACCCATTTTAATTCGCGTGTTATCCGGGAACTATTAACGCACGACAACGGCGCACAATGGCGCGTAACGTCGCACAATGTAGACATATGACAAATAAAGTTGCATTTTGTTGAATCTAGATATCGTGAGTCTTTATACATTTGTTGGTACAACCTAAGCACTACAAACGTTTTCGAGGAATGAGGTGTCGACGATTCTCATAAAATGTGATATAATGGTAGTAAGTTAGGCGTCTAGGACACGAATATCTTATTTTGTGATTCTAATGGTTGCTTAACAAAACAGTATCATTATGGAAATTGACATCTATTTCTTCTATACTTCTTAATAATAATCTTACAAGAGTATATCCGAATATGATATTCTTACATTTTTAATATGTTAATTTTTCAGACAATTTGTTTCTTGTACTACCTGTTCAAAACTCAACAACTGTATGGGCCATTCCTTTGCGTGGTGCCTTTAAGCACCATGACTGCTTGGCAAAGAGAATTCCAACAGTGGGCGCCAGATATAAATGTGGTTACTTATATTGGTGACGTCATCAGTAGGGACATTGTAAGTACTGTAGTTATAGTATAGGTGCTATACTCGTTTTCACTCCGATTTAATTGGTTATAAAATTGCTAATTCTACCTTTACAGATTAGACAGTTCGAATGGAGTTTTGCTAGCTCAAAGAGGCTAAAGTTTAATGCCATCCTTACCACATATGAGATTTTATTAAAAGATCGACAATTTCTAAGGTCTTTTAGTTGGGCCTGTTTACTAGTAGATGAAGCACACAGATTAAAAAATGATGATTCTTTACTATACAAAGCTCTGAAAGAATTTGACACCAATCATAGATTGCTCGTCACTGGTACGCCCCTACAAAACTCACTCAAGGAACTATGGGCCCTTTTGCACTTTATTATGCCTTACAAGTAAGTTGATTCATAAGAAAATATTCAATTATGTAAATAAAAATTATCGTTATTTAAAATTTTGTAATGTTTTATTTGTCAGGTTTGAGTCTTGGGAAGATTTTGAGAAAGACCACGAGGATGCTGCTACAAAGGGCTATGAGAAATTGCACAAGCAACTGGAACCCTTTATATTACGAAGGCAGAAGAAAGATGTGGAAAAGTCTTTACCAGCAAAGGTCGAACAGATATTGCGGGTAGAGATGACGTCTATACAAAAACAATATTATAAATGGATCCTCACTAAAAATTACAGTGCGCTTCGTAAAGGGGTTAAAGGATCAATAAACACCTTTATAAACATTGTTATTGAATTAAAGAAGTGTTGTAATCACGCATTGCTGACGAAACCAGAAGACTTTGAATCGAGAGCGTCACTTGCAACAACTGACGCTGTTGAGGTGAGAGTCAACTAGCCTTGAAACTTTTAGGATCCTAGTTCGAAAGGAAATGAAACAAAAACTTAATCAAATCGTGTTCTTTGGTTTTCGCCATTGTTACACTTTGGAAATGAAACTATTTCTTAGGATGTAACGGCAATTTCGCCGTAAACAAAAAGCAAATATTCGCGATATAGATCCGAAAAAAATAGTTTCATTACCTAGCGTAATCAACTTAATTATCGACCGACTCTTTGCCGACTAGACTAACTAGCTCCTATATTGAAATAATAAAAATTAACAGAACTATGTTTTTCAGAAACTATTAAGGGGCTCCGGAAAATTACTCCTGCTGGATAAACTGCTCTGCAGGCTGAAAGAGACTGGTCATCGAGTTTTGATTTTTTCTCAAATGGTCAGAATGTTGGATATTCTAGCTGAATATTTACAAAGGAGACATTTTCCTTTTCAACGCCTGGACGGTAGTATCAAAGGCGAAATTAGGAAGCAAGCTTTAGACCATTTTAATGCAGAAGGATCTCAGGATTTCTGTTTTCTGTTGTCGACGCGAGCTGGCGGTCTTGGTATAAACTTGGCAACTGCTGACACTGTGATAATTTTTGATTCCGATTGGAATCCGCAGAATGATTTGCAAGCGCAAGCTCGAGCCCACCGAATTGGTCAAAAGAATCAAGTTAATATTTATCGCCTAGTCACTGCCAGGTCAGTGGAAGAAGATATCGTTGAGAGAGCCAAGCGGAAGATGGTTTTAGATCACCTCGTTATTCAGCGAATGGATACCACTGGAAGAACAGTGTTGAATAAACGGGACGCCTCGGGAACCACTGCAAATAATCCATTTAATAAAGAAGACTTGAATGCAATTTTGAAATTCGGAGCTGAAGAGTTATTTAAAGATGATGATGAAAACGATGAGGATCCTGTCGTAAGTACAAAAATTGTTGTAGCTAAATTTCTTTGTATAGTAGTTTATGAATTCAAAATTAACAAAAGCTTATTTCTTGTAGTGTGATATTGACGAAATTTTGCGACGTGCTGAAACAAGAGACGAAGGTCCGTCAATGGTGGGCGACGAATTATTGTCGGCGTTCAAGGTGGCCAGTTTTGCGTTTGACGAAGACAAAGCTGTTATGGAAGTCAAAAAAGAAAACGAGGAAGAAAGCAAAGATTGGGTAAATATTACCTTTTAATTATTTTAATACTAAGAATTATAATCAGGAGCTAATTTCAATTAATTTCAATTTCAGGATGATATTATACCTGACAATGTTAAAAAGACATTAGCAGAAGAAGAAAAAAATAAAGAAATGGAAGACTTGTATTTACCACCAAGAAGAAAGAATTTGCAACAAAATAATGCTGATAATAGTGAGTATTCTGTATATCAAATTAACCCAGTTGAGAGTGCATTCTCCCTCTTGTTGTACTGAATAAAAAAGTCTTTAAAATAAATTTAACATTTACTGTTCTATTAACTTTGTAACCTTTTCGATAGAACGAGGCCGTAAAGGGCGCAGTCGAGGTTCAGGCGAAGGTGGAGACGTAGATGGCGAAGGGGACGCTGAGAGCGATGCGTCCGATGGTGACGCCAGCGCCAATGACGACGACCGACCGAGGAAAAGAGGTCGCCCTCCTGCTTCGCACAGAGAAAAGATCAAGGGCTTCACAGATCAAGAGGTATGTAGCAATTACTAAACATGCTTCCATGAACACAAATGAACATTCTGTAAACTGTACCAATGCGAAATTATCAATTGCATTGCACTATTACTATCATTTACACATACAAAATGGAGAATCATCTCTTTTATTTTATTGTTTTACAGATTAGGAGATTTGTAAAGAGCTTTAAGAAATTCTCCGCACCGTTGAAGCATCTCGATAGTATTGCATGCGATGCAGAGCTGCAGGAAAAGCCTCTAGCTGAACTCAAGAGGTTGGGCGAAATATTACAAGAAAGATGCAAGGCCGTTTTAAATGAAACTACAGAAACGCCCAGTAAGTGGTTCACATTAATATAAGAATTCCACACATTCTTCTAATTGAAATATCTCTGTTATATAATTTAAATAAATGTTTTAACAGATGAACAAAGTGACGGCCGAAAAAATGCAAGAAAATCTTTTAAACTTGGTGGCGTGCCAGTTAATGCAAAAACATTGAGTGCTTGTCAAGAAGAGCTGGCTCCATTAGATGAATTCTTACCACAGACTAAAGAAGAAAGATTGAAATGGCAATTGGATTTCAGGTAACACATTGAATCTAAATTAGGATATTTCTTTAAGGTACATACATGATAAGATATATCTAATAAAATTTACTCATTACAGAACAAGGCCTGCTAACTTCGATGTAGAATGGGGAGTGGCAGATGATTCCAAACTCCTTGCTGGTATTTACCAATACGGAATGGGTTCCTGGGAAGCAATAAAAATGGACTCGTCATTTGAGATAGGAGACAAGATGTTGACAAATGAAGACAAGAAACCCCAAGCTAAGCACTTGCAGTCAAGGGCAGAATACTTGTTGAAACTAATAAAGAAATTGCTCGATCAGAAAAATGGCAAGCAGAAACAGAGGAAACCACGAACTAAACGTGGAAATAAAGAGCCCGTTACTAAAGATATTATAGAAGATGATATCAGCTCAGGGGATGAAGCCAAAAAAAATAAAACGACTAAAAGCGATAATAAGGTATATTGATAAAATATTTACAAAACATCTGAAGTAAATTATGAATTGGTCTAATTTTTTTTAAATTTTCAGACAAAGTCTAAGTTAGAAGAAATATCAACTCATGATGAAACGTCACAAGATAAGGCTTCAAAAGACAAAAAGCGCACAAAGAAGGAAGGCAAAGATCGGACTAAAGGCGAGAAAGTGAAAGGTCGCAAGAAACCCGCTGGACCTATGCATTTTACTGCTAACAATGAACCACGAGCATTGGAGGTGTTAGGGGACCTTGATCCGACTGTGTTCGAAGAGGTATTATTTCATGAAATAAATTTTATTATAAATTCAATGATTTTTTCATTGCGGACGGATAAAATGATAAATGTTTTGTTTGCAGTGTAAAGAAAAAATGAGACCAGTAAAGAAGGCCCTTAGAGCTCTGGACAATCCAGATCAAACATTATCTGAAAATGAACAAGTGACGCGGACACGCGCATGTTTGACACAAATAGGGAATCAAATAGACATTTGTCTCGAGGCTTATGCAGACCAAGAGAAAAAAATTGAATGGAGAAGCAATCTCTGGTATTTCGTGTCTAAGTTTACCAATTTCGATGCTAAACAATTGTACAGATTGTATAAGTATGGATTAAAGAAAAATACTGAAGCAAAACAAAAGGAGGGTAAACACAAAGAAAATGTTAAGGTTGGTATATATTTTTCACGTCATTACTTTCATGTTTTTCCTAAAAATATCTATCAGTAGAATAAAGTTTTCTGCGATCCGAAATACTCAAGTATTTAACGTTTTCAACAGACAAACAATAAGAATAATCACAACTCAAATAATCATGTTAAGATTCCAAGAAAAGAAGCTAAACAAAACGACAATAATGATAGGAAGGAAAAGAGGCCCAAGGCGGACAAAGAGAAGACTGACAAATCGAATGATAAGGCTCCACACTCTTCTGGTATCAAAAGAAAGTTAGAAGATGGTGAATGTGACCCTGAACCAAATGAAAATAAACGCCATGAAAGGTAATTTTACCCCTGTTTGATATTGACATACCTTTGGTAATATTTGATCTTTCACCTGCTTCATCATTTAGTTTCATTAACCATTAATTTTCTTTTTTTCATTGACTCGCTAACCACTCCTCGTATGCTCACCACCATCTCGCTTCTTCCATCCCTGCAGAAATAAACACAAGCACAAGGATCGTCAGGATAGAGATAGGAGCATGAAGCGGGACGATTTGATCTACAGAGAGCGGAGCCGGTCCGAGCGGGAGCGCGAGAGAGACCGCGATCGGGAACGGGACCGGGATCGAGATCGCGAGCGCGATCGCGACCGAGACCGAGGTCATGACCGCGATCGAGATCGGTCGCGAACTCGCAGAGACAGCGGCGGCGCAGGTCCACCACGCGCTAGACCTGCATACGGAATGTCACACCCGCATCCCGACCATCCTACGCATCCGGGATGGACGCCGCCAGCCTATCCCGGCCCTCGGCAGTATCGAAGTGACCGCAACCCTCGAGCTCATGATAAGAGACGGTTAGTACTTTTGAAATTTATATTTTTATTATGTTATCGAAATAAGGGAGTCACCAAACCAAACCAAACTGTCTCCGTGGCCGAACGGTTGTGTACTGGACTGCCGCACATAGGTCCTGGATTCGATTCCCAGGTCGGGAGAAATATTTGTATGGCCTACATTTAATTCTCTCGTGAGTTTGGGTGTAATTTGTGGTTGTCTGTCTATGTCTGCCGTCCACTAACAAAACACGGCTAAGTGACAAATGGTCAAATATACGATTTAAATAGCAAAAAATAGAGCACAAAATTCTCTTTTAAAAATAGTTAAAATTAGTTAACGTGTTCGACTTATCGCAACTTACCCTAACGATGCATAGCTAAAATAACATTAAACAATTTCAATATTTTTAAAATGGGTTATGCTTTTTCATGATACCTCAAAAAAATATTTTGTGACTTAGCCTCGCTTTTTTTAGCGTACGGCAGATGTGTGTCCATGACACCCGCGACACAGGGTAAGTGTGCGGTTGTAAATGTGCGGTATTACTATTAACACTTCTCGACGCGGTGTTGGTTTGGCCGGTCAGAAAACGCTTCATGTCCATGCAAAAGACCGAAAAAGTTTCATTCAGCGAAACGCATTACGTGGTTTTGGCTCGAGACGACTCCGCGCAGATGAGTGAGATGAGTGATGAGTGTGATGACTTCCATAAACTTCATTAGATTCAAATGATACACGTCTGGTTTAATTCAACAGATACCCCGGCTATGGCGCCATGCCCGCGGGTCCGTATGGTGGGTACTATGACGCTACCATGACCAGCGGCATGGGATTTCCGCCAGTGCGGCCCTATCCATCTGAGGAATGGCGAGGCTACACGCAACCCGAATTCTCCTACGATGATAGAGACTATGAACGTGAAGTTTATAGGAGAGATTACGACCGCCGAGCGCCACCAACTTAATTCTCCAAAAAAGTATAGATAGGCATTGTAAATATATTTGTAAATTATTAGTGTAAATAGTTGTTAGATATCTCTTTCCGTGGACACTGGTCTGACCGTGAAGATGTTAACTGTAATGGTATAAGTGACAAAATAGTGCTGTGGTTTTATCTATGTGATAATGATAAGCGAAGCGCATCGATTTCATCTTGAGACATAAGTTAATGTTAGTTGACCGTGTTTTAAGTGAGACTGTATTGTAAATTTATTTATTACCAAATCTGTCGATTGATTGTTAATGTACAGAACTAGACACAATATCTACCAATTTATTTTATATTGTTTAAATTTTTGTTGCTAATTAACTGGTTCTAAATGATATTTTTTTAATGTGTAATTCAATGTCTATTTATTTGATGCTGAAATACGACTTCGGTAATTAATTTGGAAAAGTCAGGTGATATACAAATGTAGTTCATAGTGATTGTACAAAATTTAGCATTATTAGTAGGTTTGCATTAAATTCAAAATCATGTGCAATTGTGTATAGCATACCAAAAGGGGCACATAGACTTTGTCATTGCATTTTAGCAGTGATCAGGAAAGAGTGTTTTGATTTGTACATTCATTTCTCATTCTACGTGCATTTCAGAGTCCTCCTAACAGGACTCGTACAGTCCTATTTTTATACATTATGTAAAGTCTTATTTCTCTGTTACATGCAAATGAATGTAATAAGAGCATCTTAAATGGTATAAACCATGATAATAAATATTATTAAAGTTGAAATACTGTGTATTATTTTTATCTCACTTTATTTTTATAATATCTGCCTATTGTCACCGTAATTTGTCGCGATATGGTCGTGATCTATGAATTTTACGTTTGACTGCCAATTGTAATCGATTTTACTGCATTGCACATTTATCACGCATACTGGTGTTTGTTTTGTACAATATTTATAAGCTTATCAGCTTATAACCCACGTGTACTTCATCGATATTGTTATGCATTTTGCCTGCGATGGACATAATACATTTAAATTAATCAAAATTCAAGATGGCGTCGTTAAAATTCAGGCAGGCGAACATCTACTGTTTAGGTGGCGACGGGACGGTAAATTTTGTATAATGTTACTGTATTATAAATGCTATGCCAAGACATTTCATTATTTGCACAGCGTGGTTAAACCTACTTTTCACAATGGCTGCGGTTAAGAGGAATGTGGGAAGTTGCGTTTGGTTTACAATCGATATCAAGAGTTTGAATAAGGGTATGACGTCATACTGCGGAATTATGATGGCAAGCCTCGTAGCTTTGAGTATACAACATTAGAGGCGTCATCGAAAGGCAGTCTTTCCCTCTGTAAAGGTTCAAAATAAATGAGATAATTCACCACCGCACAATACATTTTGGGTCTATTTTTTTCCATTTCCGTTATCGAATCTCTTGCACCAAACAAACTTGCAAAAAAAACTGCTACATCCAGTTTAGTCAAGGATACAATTACATTCCATACGAGCTCTGTACCCCACCACGGCTTGGTCTGCGGCGCGTGGTTGGCCTCACGGGGTGCGCTCATGCTCTCACTGCGGTTAGTACGTACTTGGGCGCTTGAAGGAGGTTACGGGTTTTATTCCTTTCGGGGTTTCGGGTTTTATTTATGTTATTATCAGGTAATTTCAGAAATTTTTTCATGTCAATTTTCAGCCCGAGCAAACAGCTATCGAAAAAAGCTTGAAAAAAGAATACTTTATGGCGGTCATATCGAAAAAAGGCGTAAACAATATATTTTGACCGCAAATTGTAATCAAACACCCATAGAGATCTCTACATGCTGATTTGCAGTAAAATTAGAGCAAATTTCTGCCGCCAACGTACGCTTATATGGTAGCCTTATATCAAAATGGCGAAAAACCAATTTTGATCACAAATTTTGTATCTGGCACTTCTAGAAGCCACCATATGCATATTTTCAGCCGCATCGCAGCAAGTTTTTTCGGCCGCCATTTTGAATTCGCCATCTTGAATTTCTTTTAAACCAGGCAGTTGACCTCTATGACATTCCTTCGAGCACATCTCTACTAGTTTCTGTGATAGAAGGCTTTGAATTTGTATGGCGGCCATCTTGTTTATTTCAATTTCGAAAATTTTTTACTTCCGGCGGAAATTGGCCAGGGTGTACCTCATAAAAGTGCACAAGCATTCCCTCCATATTGTTATAATTTTTGCAGGCCGCTTATCACTCTTATATTTTCCACATTCAGGTCATCTCGTATTTTTTCCTTTGCAACGTTATAAATATCTTTTGTCACCATAGGTATCGGGAAGTATGCGTTCTATTTCTATCAGTGAGTCCTAACGTAAAAAAGTAACTAATAGACTTATATTATTCCATATAATGAGTATATTTTTTATATTAATTGCTTGTTTCTATTTTAACATATTTTTTCACGATGATTTTCATGAATCAATGTGGATTCAATTTATCGATTACACAGAATACGTTCAAATATTTGGTAAATTTACTAAATTGAATAATCGATCTAAAAGTAGATTGTACAACAAGTGCATAAAACGCGTCATATTACCCGAGACGAGTATATCCACACTCGCCTGCAGCTCGGGTGGATACTTAAGTCGAGGGTAAAATGGGTTTTATGAACGAGTTATACACTCTGCTTTTCACTTCGATTGCGAGGAAATTAAACACCAATATTACAAATGAACGATTATTTAATTAAAATTGAATGTAAAATTACAATAATTAGATATATTTAATGTGATGTTTTTTTTTATTTTATGCACTAGAGCATAAAATCCATATTTATGCACTAGAGCATAAAACCCTATTTTACGCAGCCTTCACCCAGCACAAATACGAACGTTAAGAGATGAGAAGTGAAAAGGTCATAATTATAATTATTCTTCGCTTAGTTAAGGATTTTTAAGGATCCAATTGTTAAAGTTTTTAAGCGTCATACGTCTTGTGCTGATGTAAACGCACCCTTCGTGAGACTAATAAAAAAAGTTAAGTTTAACAATATTTTAATAATATTAATTCTTACCAAATATTTAAATTTTTGAACATACAATGACTAAAATATTTTTTTACGCTTCTTTTTACATAATTATGTGAACATTTACTGCCAGAATATTCTGCAAGTATGTAGGTACGAGGCGGTGCTTTCACAGTCGGCTGGGGTATAGCTTGAACGATCTGCGCATGTCCAAATTTCATTCAAGGGCATCTTCAGTCATGAAGCCTCAGTTAGTAGCTAGTAGCTCCTCGACAGATGGGGTGAATAGCATTTTGTAACCTTATCCTTATTATATCTTGTTGTTTATTATTTCTGACACGATTTTTTCTTACTTTGGAGAGAAGTAATAAAGAAGAGAAGAATCGTTAATTATAAAAGAATTGCATTTGTCTGGAAACTAACGGATTTGGTAAGTGCAACGCATTTTACCATTACCATAGGTGCGTTTTATATTTCTTTTTAATTCAATTTACATTTAGCAATAACATCCATTGATCTTGGTAAGTAGGTAAATAAAATCATGCTAACGCTAAAGATTTTATCAACCTTTTGTGTTTCTTTGTGGTGTTATGCCTTTGTGTGGTGTTGATTGTAAGGGTGCTTTATGTGCAGGGTAACTCTATCTATGGTAACCATTGACTTTTTGTAAGTCAATGATGGTAACTCTGCCCTCCTTATCATAACTAACGTAATCGACATTTTTTAGGGAAATTGAGTTATTAACAAATTTGGAATCGGCAAAACGAGATCTACAACCCCTATAAGCGGTTATTTTATATCTTATTTAGTTTCGTTTTTCTTGAAACAAAATCAACGTAATTGACATTTTTCAAAGAAAAAATACTTTAGGTGCCAACATCTCGAAAGTTACCTAAATGCAAATGCGTTAGTTATGACAAGGAGGGCAGTAATTGTATCAAAATATACTTAACATTGTAATAAATAGTAACATTAGAGCTCCTTGTGAAAGAGTTCGTTCAGGGAAGTACTGCCTACCTTACCTTACTTAACTGTCTCCATGGTCGAACAGTTACCATCCCGCGCAGAGGTTCCAGGTTCGACTACCGGGCCGGGAGAAATATTTGTATGGACTATATTTATTTCTATGTTGAGTGTGTGCGTTATCTATTTCTGCCACCAAGTAGTAATGTCAGCATTACTGTGTTCCGATTTTGAAGGGTAAGGGTGCTGGGGCAATTACAGGCACATAGGACTTGTCAAATTATGTCTCAGGGTGATGGGCGCAGTGGCTGTGCCCCTCAGATCTTTGCGATTTAAAGCTCTGAGTGCCATTGCAACTGTTATGGACAGGCGTGTAGTTTACCATCAGGCGCACGAGTTGTTCGACTCGTCACTTGATACTATAAAAAAAAAATGAATCGTAGGACAAAACTGTGTGAATAAGTAGCAGGATATGTGCTCACTAGATATACTTAAGCTCAATATGTAACTACAATATTTATATTTTAATTAGCTGCCTCTGTGGCCGAACGGTTATTATGCCGAGTGCCAAGCAGAGGTCCCAGGTTCGATTCCCGGGTCGGGAGAAATATTTGTATGGCCTATATTTATTTCTCTCGTCAGTTTGGGTGTAATTTGTGGTTGTCTATGTGTGTGTCCATGGCACCCGCGACACAGGGTTTCCCTAGTGCGGGACTATGTTGAGTGTGTGCGTTATTATTATTATTTCGGACTATTAGAAAACATGAGATTATTCCTTCGACATGACATATTTTTAACTAGTCTTTTTCCTTTAATATATTTCAGAAATAAAGTGTTATGCAATCATACGATGTGTGATAATGGCAGAAAAAAAACTCTGTGGTGCGGAAGTTGTAGTAGCCACAAGATGGTGCCCAGGCTGCATGTGCTTTCGTTGCTGGTGGTAGTTGCTAGCGGTTGCTACCTGTTTCCAAGCGGTAAGATGATATGGTTACTTGTAAAGTAATACGAAGCTAGGGCGGTGTAAAATTCGACTGGTGCGGTCTATGCGCGCAGTGAGGCATTTTGGGTGAACCACAGACAAATGGGTGAACGACTTTTGATTTCCGAGAAATACTGATTCAGTCTCGAACGATTGCAAATGGCAATAATACAACGCGCGTAAATGATTTGATTATATTTCAGCCACTAACATATTTGCTATTCAATAAAAGAAACAAAACTATACAAAAAGTTACTTTTACTTTTACTTTTATTTTTATTAGACGTTCCAAATCCGTGTAACGGCATCAGCTGCGGTCCAGGAGCGCTCTGTCGGCCTACGCCCGATGGCCGTACATACAACTGTGAGTGCCCAACCTCCTGCCCCAGCTACGGCGACCACGAGGGCTCACGGCCACTTTGCGCAAGCGACGCCCGCGACTATCCTGGCGAATGTGAGATGCGCCGTGCTGCTTGTGAATCTAACACTAGTATCACATTCAAATATTATGGTAAATGCGGTGAGTATTTTTTTTGTACAGTTTTTGGCAACCAAAATTACGGAAGTTAATAAACGTTTCCAAGCTTTTTAACAATAAAGCCAAATTATTCTCAACGCTACCTATACTAGATAACTATTTGACAACAGCAAAACGACTAAGTACAAAATAAAATGAAGCTAAACATTGCAGATCCTTGTGCGGGAGTGACCTGTCCTGACCCAGAAGTGTGTCAGTTGGACGACCGTCGGCAGCCATCTTGCCGCTGCGCCGAGCCTTGCCCATTGGAGTTTTCTCCAGTGTGCGCTTCCGACGGAAAGACATATTCCAACGAGTGCCAGATGCACCGCGAATCTTGTCGAGCTAGGAAACAGTTGAAAATTGTGTTCAAAGGGCAGTGCAGCTCAGGTAACCTCATCTCCTGCTTAAATATATTGAGCAAATTCAAATTAGTGTTACTTTTAGAAATGTATGAAGTTTAATGAGAAGGCATTTAATTCTTTTTAAGTGTATTGAAAGTACGAAGTATCGATAACATCTTCTGCACTTGCAGGAGTGAATCCATGCGCGGAGGTAGAATGCCGTCATGGCGCAGAATGTCGCGTGGAGGGTGGAGGTGCTGTTTGTGCGTGTCCACCGCCATGTGAACCTGTGTTGCGTCCAGTGTGCGGTTCAGACTCTCGAACGCACGACAGCGAGTGTGAACTGAGACGAGCTGCTTGTTTATTGGGTAGAGAGTTGCGAGTGCTACATTCGGGGGCCTGTGGTAAGTGATTTTCGAATGGCTGTACATTATTAGCATAGTATCAACGTTTTATAGATGGAAAGTACATAAACTGAGGCCGGCTCTTTGTGATAAAAATTTAATCGCACGCACTCGGAGGGACTCGTACGCACGCGTTGCTACCGCACATCTCTGGTGGAATCGAATCTTGGACGTTACATTACAGGCGAATGCTCGTCGGTACAGGGGGTAGTAATTAATGTAATGCTCGAAAACGAATCTTGAATGTTGCATTACAGACGAATGTTAGCGGTGAAGGAGCATCCTAACGCATCTCTCACTTATGCACACACTCATAGTTCCGCCCTAGGGAAATTCTGTACCGCGGGTGCAACGGAACACATATATATATAAACAACCACAAATTACACTCAAGCTCACGAAAGAAATACATGTAGGCCATACAAATATTTCACCCGCCCCGGGAACCGAACCCGGCTTCTCTGCGTGGCAGATCAGCATAGTAGCCGTTCGACCACGGAAGCAGTTAATAGGAGCGCGTAGGTTCTACAAATATATCATTTTAATAAACGTAACTATTGTTAGGAAAATATCTACTTCAATAAATTGGTGAATCGGCAGAAATTAATGTTGAAAAACTGGAAGTCACCCAACTTTGGTTTCGTCTACGAATTACAAATATTTGCATCTTTGTTACTTTAGTAGGTTAATTGTGACCTGGCTCTTATCCAAATGATACATTTTTTAATTTGTGTATGTATCGTGAAATGTGAACCTATCTGGCTACAGGATCCAATGGTGTGTGCGCCGGCCGCGTTTGTCCGCACGGTGGAGAGTGCGTAGCACAAAGTGGCCGCGGAGTGTGCCGTTGCCCTCGCTGCTCGAACGAGTTCGCGCCCGTCTGCGGCTCCGACGGCATCTCCTACGGGAACCGCTGCAAGCTGCAACTCGAGGCATGCCGACATCGGCGCGATGTGCAAGTGCTTTATGATGGACCTTGCAGTACGTAGCAATTCAGCATTTCACTATTTGGCAGACACCATTTTATAACCTCTTCGGACCCCGTGTACTGCCAAATGAACATAATATGTGAAGTAATTTAGACTCAGAAAATATTGTTTATATTGTATTTAAAAAGTTAATTTTGGACTTAGGATGTATGACGTTTAACCTATTTGAATTTTGTTATTTTTGTTTTTTTTATTTCAATTTATTAGCCTTAGAATACTCTGTGTCATTAAATATAACTTGTTAAGTGTAACAACGCATATTTACTTTTTTGTATCTAACATTTTATTGGTTTGAATGGTGTATGACTCTTTTTTTTCTTTTGTTATTTATTATTGAAATGCACTTCTCACACACTTCTCAGTTTTTTTGTAGTAATTAGTGGTTAACGGTGTTGGTGACACAATCATTACTTAATTACTGTGAACTGTTTTAATTGTGTCTACTATTTGTTGACCCAAATAATTAAAAAAAACAATGAAAATATCGCATTCAAATTTAGCGCCATACTTTATTTCTTACCATGATTATTTAGAAAAATACGTTTTTTGTACAAAACTGAAGGTATACTTGACCCGAGGGTCTGGAGCATGTAATTATGTTTAGTACATTTAATGTACAGTGAGCGTATAGCCCTTTTCCCATTGTAGTATCCTGGGTATCAGAAAGATATACTTTCTGATACCCAGGATACGATAGGTGTATCGAGTGGTGACCGTTTTGTAACCCAGTGACTTAACTTTTAACTAACGTAAAAAAAAACGTTACTTAACGTAACTTCGTTGTGTGTGTCCAACAGTTTTACAGCTGGTCGATCGGCTTCACATCGTTTTATTCACCAAGATAAATTTCATTCATTTTGATGCTTAGCGATGTGTTCTAATTAGCTGATCAAAATTTTCAGATGGATGTGAAAATAAGAAATGTGAATACTATGCTGTCTGCGAGAGTGATGGCGTTTCGGAAGCGAGCTGCGTGTGCCCTAAGCATTGCGAAGAAGGAACTGTAAGAATCTCATTATTGCTTCCATTTGTTGATCTTTATTCTAGAAATTCACAGCTGGGTATGAGCTTATGAAGGTTTGCCATAATCACCATGCTAAGCACGTAATACCTGATCTACTTAAATTTGCATTGTGTAAATAAATGTTGTTTTAATTATTATTACAAAGATCGAACACTAAGAAAACTTTATTCGTCCTGTCTGGATTGGATCTAGCGCCTTCAGCATACCGTGTCTGACGCCTTCTCAGATGAGCTACGGAACAAACCAGCAGACCTTACGAATATTTTTACGTGTTTGTTGAAGAGATTTTGATTTTTAACGACTTTTTTGCCGTAGTGCCAACATTGTGATATTCAATAATTTCAGTATTAAATGTTCCTAGTAGCAGTAGAGCTCCTTGTGAAAGAGTTTGTTCATTGCCACTTTACCTATGTCTGCCGCTAAGCAGTAATATGAGCTTTGTTGCGCTCTGGTTTAGAAGGGTAAGGATGCTGGTGAAATTACAGGCACATGGGACCTGTCAACTTAGGTCTTAGCGTGACGGGCGCAGTGCCCATAATATCTTTGCGCTATAAAGCTCGGAATGGCACTGTAACTGTTATGGATAGGCGTGTCACTTACCACCGGGCGCACGACTTGTTCGTTCCGTCACTTGGTATTATAAAAAAAATGTTGTTTGTTTTTCAGGAAACAGAAGAAGTGTGTGGCAATGATAATCAGACCTATAGCAGCGTATGCGCACTACGAGATATTGCATGTAGAGAAAAGAAACATTTACATGTCGAGCATATTGGTTCTTGTGGTACGGAAATTACTTACAAATTAATCTGATTAATTAGTCTTAATGTTTACGGATTCTGATTTGGTGAATTAATTTCTGTATCTCTATAGAATAGAGTAGAGAATATTGTATGGAACGAACAGATCCTGCATTAATCAAAGATCCTTTCATTTCGTATAACCTTGTTGACTTGCCGGGCATTCTTTGCGCGTTCTTAGTTAAAGACTTGTTATATTTGAAGCTATCAGCGCAAAAGTGGTGTAACCTAATTTTTTTTTCTAAAATGTTACTTTAAACTATACTAAGGCGCCGCGAATACGTGAGTCTTATTTTGGTTACAAGGTACTGGTACCTAGAAGCGAATATTTTATTTTCATATAAATGCGGTTGCGGCAACCGGTGACAATGTCTAACTGCAGTAACCGACGTTTGTGTCGATTTGATATCAATTTTATGAAAATAGAATACTCGCATCTAGTTGCCGGTTGTTTGTATCCAACAAAAGACACACGTTTGTGCGGCGCCTATATGACATAATTATTTTATATTTAGATGCTATTTTCAGGTATAAAAAATATTTAATTTAAATTTTTTATACATGAAAAGAGCATCCAAATTGTAACATAATTCTGTACTTTAGTATGTATCGTTAAAAGTAATATTGTTGAAAAAAAAGTGGGTTATACCACTTTTGCGCGGATAGCCTCATTTGTGGTCCGCCTTGGTCGAATCTTACTTGTCCATTTAAGTAAGTTTTGAATTTTATTAAATTGTTTGTTTTTCATGTTTTAGAATCATGCGCTAGCATAGAATGCCCCGCCGGCACGTGGTGTGCCCGCGGCGCATGTTCTTGCTCCAATCCCTGCTCGGGTGCAGCGCGGGAGCCGGTGTGCTCTTCCACCGGCCACACTTTCTTGCATGAGTGTGCGCTGCAGAAGGCAGCCTGCGAAGCGCGCATGCGTGGAGAGACGCCAGTTCGGGTAGCCTATTACGGAGAGTGCACTGATTCGCCAGATGACATTTCTGGTAGTGGTTCGTTTCTTCACTGATATTGATTATTTTCACTTGGTTTGTCGCTGCATTTTTTAAAGCAATCTGTAACGAGCTGGATTAGCTATAATTTTTTGATAATAAGAAATTTCAATATTTATTTTATTGAATATCTCGATATTTTTTATATTTTTTTATTAACAACCGTGTGAATATACTCCATTAGTTATTATTATCGATACAAAGATCGAATAACACAAAGAAAAAAATCCTTCGATTTGACTGGCTTTAAACCTGCGTCTGCCACACCGGGGCCACCGCTCTTACCAACTGAGATACAGTCTGAGGTGTGTGCTTGTTGTAGGTTTTTGTCAGCGGTACCTGTGAGAAATTTATGAAAGTTTCTGTAATGAAATTTGATTTCAGGTTCAAACAAAACAGCGAAAATAACAGATCTCAGCAACGAAATTCGTTCATCCGATGACATTGCGGAAAGTTCGAGCGAGTCGGGCATGGGGACGGCAGTATGCGCTAGAGTTCAATGTGCTTATGAAGCGACATGCGCTGTAGATTCCAACGGACAGCCGCGATGTGCTTGCTTGTTCGATTGTGCGGCTGCTGCAGCGTCCGCGTTAACCTCGGCACCAGTTTGTGCATCCGATTTAAGGCTATACCCTACACTGTGTCATATGAAGTTGGAATCTTGTAGAAGGCAGGAGGATTTGAGGTTAAGACCGCTAGCTTTGTGCCGAGGTCTTGAGGTAGGTTTCACAAAACTTACGTAACTATTGCCTGTAATGCAAAGTGACACTTAATTATAGTGACAAAATAGCACAGACATCTGGACATAGGTCATAATAAACCCTAAATAACCCTTTATACCTTACAAACTTAAAGGGGTAAATTTTTATCAGTTTTTAAGAAGTACCTATTTGTAGGAAGACGGTTACTTACATTATTTTTCAGTTTCGTCCGTGTGGCGATGATGACCCGGTTATGGATGCGGAGGGACGGCCGGTGGACTGTGGTGGAGGTCCTCAGAGAAAAGATTGTCCTGTTGGTAGCTACTGCCACCACACCACTAAGGCTGCTAGATGTTGTAGAAAGGGTATGTGTAGTCATAATACATGTATGTGTAACATATATTTACCTAAGGCCGCTAGATGTTGTCAAATTGGTACGTGCAGTAGTCATAAACGTGTCTAGGTATATTTACCTGAGAAAACGTCTATCTAATATCTGAAATTCGGTGTTTCAAACCTATAAACATACATCTCTAAACTCCTGCGCACTATTTGGCGAATCAAGGCTGACTGTAGATTTAAGAATTAGTATTAAAGCATATTCTGTGGTAATAATAATGCTTATGCAATTGGGTAACTAAAGCAATGAGAATTTTAAGCAGATGACATCTCATTTTCTTTCAGATAAAGCAATAGTCGAGAGGAAAGGCTGCCAAGAGTCTTGGCATGGGTGTTGCGCGGACGGGGTCACACCAGCCCGAGGACCGGGAGGTGTGGGATGCCCTTCACAATGCGGTTGCCACAGACTCGGTTCAGAGACTGAGCATTGTGATGAGACTGGACAGTGTGTCTGTCGGCCGGGCGTGGGTGGACAGAAATGTGACCGCTGCGAACCTGGTTTTTGGGGATTGCCGAGAATCGGTACTGGACATATGGGATGTATTCGTGAGTAACACATTTTTTTCAAGTTATAGCATTACTTCGACATGTTCTATGATGTAAATGTCGTGAATGATTGTAACTGTAAAATAAATTTTACAGCTTGCGGATGTTCTGCGTTCGGCTCAGTTCGCGAGGATTGTGAGCAAATGACTGGTCGGTGCGTATGCAAGCCTGGAATACAAGGCCAGAAGTGTACTGTTTGTTCCAACCATGAGCATACCCTTGGACCCAACGGTTGTTTCGACCGTAAGTACTTAGCACGTAGTCGAGTAAAATTTCATAATGACGTTACATTATTCATTGAGTAACTGATTGTTCGTTTGCCAACAGCGGAGTCAACACAGTTACCTGCAACCAGTTGTGATCATATGACCTGTTACTTTGGAGCTTATTGTATTGTGCGTAGCGGGCTTGCAACTTGCGAATGTGCAGTGACCGAATGCCCTCCCAATGAAGCACCGGCTGTTTGCGGCAGTGACGGCAGGACTTATCTGTCAGGTTGTCACCTGCGCTCGCACGCTTGCAGGACGCAGTCTGATGTGGTGGTTCAGGCGTTTGGCCCCTGCGGTGACGAATCTCCACACGTTCGTAGAGGTAGTCGTTCCGCTGGTAGACATCACCGATCCACCGACTACATACAATCATCCTCCGACAATTCGCTAGAACATACCAAGAAACTAATATTCAGCTCTGTGCAGCACGCCGACGTTTCCGTAGACACCAGCGATAGCGGCAAACCCGACAGCCCTGAACCCGATCTCACATGTATTGACATACTCCCACCTGTTGGTTATCGCTAGATTTAGAACGAGCTAGATATTCGTAGCTTGCACTATAGTAATTCCTCAGGTATAGAAATTTTACGATTAATACACAAATTATTATCAAACTACTTATTCGCAGACAAAGTCTCATATACTCCGGTTCAATTCGAAAACAATGAAAGAAGTTGTAGCGTGAAACCTGTAAAGAATATTACAGCGGTCTTGCCAGAGACTTGGGAAGATTCGACATATGAAGTTGAGGATGAATATACATCGCAAGAGGATTATATAGATGAGGAAGTTAATGATATCTATGAAATGCCGTTGTTCGATGGTAAAGCGACAATGACTACCCGAACACGATTGCCCGCGAAGCGATTTGATATCTGGGCGGAGGTGTCAGCGGTATGTGGGAACGGAACATTGTTAAGCACCTCAGGGACAAGGGACCACTTGTGGCTTGGGTTTATTGGGGATAGAGCAATATTACGATGGGACGCGGGAAGCGGCCCCATGGAGCTACGAAGTGGAAAACTGAAGATCGACGGGACATCGAAAATATCAGCAAGGAGGTACAAAAAGGACGCTGTATTGAAACTGGGATCAGCAACTTCAAGTGGTACGGCGCAAGGGCGTATGAGTTCGCTCGATGTCGATCCTTTCCTTTACGTTGGTCATCCACCGGATAATGTAGCTAGGTGAGTGCTATCTATAACCAAAATTGGTTCATGGACATGCTCGATACTGAATTTATTTTCTATGTTGTCTTACGAAGCATCTTGTATTATATACAGAGTTTGAGTAAAGGTGGACTTTGGCTCCCTAGGTTGACTGGGAGCACCGCATTACCAGGGTTTGTAGGATGCGTGCATCGCTTGCGGGTCAGTGGACGGGACTTGATTCCTGCTTCTAGAGGGAGACTCCTAGAGTCCCGTGGAGTGCGTCCTTGTAATCCTTACAACTTAGCGCGACTTGTATGTCCTTAAGAAGTTAATTTAAAACACATTTGTACCTCCAATTAAACTATTTCAATTGCTTAACACAAAATAAAATTTTCGAATTTTTATTGAATTCTGAAAAAATGTTGTTGATTTCTGTAAACTTATGTGATCTTTTTATTACGTTATGTACATACTGAGGTACGAATATCAGAACGTGTATCAGTATATTGATATTCAAAGGAAAATTATTACCAACGTTACAGCTTTTTTTTTATATGAAATGTAAGTCTATTTTTGTGTAAAATTCAGTGTAGAAATTTTTTCAAATAAATCTTCGGAAAAGTTGCGTCAAAGGTTCGTCAAATACTCTGAGCGCTAAGCCAGTTCAGGCAAGGTGCAACTTTTGACGCGCAAGTGTAGTAGCAGAAAAAAAGAACCGAAAAATCTAATCTATGAGTAATCGTAGAACATGAGATTGTTTCTCAATTTAATAGCATTATACTTTCTTTTAGTAATATACAGAGTTACCTACGTAGTAATGAACTACCTAACACCGTATATTACTATCATTGATGGCGTTTAATGTCGCAAACAAACAGACTTATGATTTGATTTGTAGAAAAAGTTAATTTTTAATTCTATTTTTATCAAAAAAGCTTGCGATATCAAACAACCCTTTTAAAAGTTGACTGCTCAGTTACCTGTATAATATTCATACTATAAATGAGTCCATCAGCGCAAAAGTGGTGTATATACCGCTGATAGCGTAAAATAATCTTTACAATACAATATACTGGGTGTCCCACTGCTATGCGGGGACACGGGGGAAAGTACTTTAAATACTGAAAATAATATTAATATTTTGTTAGTAATATTATGTTTTGCATCATGGATATATTATTTTATTATTAAAAGTACCTTATACTGCATTCAAAGACTTTTAAGAAGTTGCTTTCCTAATTTGGAAATCGAATCGTTCAAATGGGAAAAACAAACACTGTAGTTTTATGATGATGATCGAAAGGGTCAATCAATTACCACCAATTATAAGGATTAATACTAACTTAAGAGTCAATAGAACCTCAAATGGAATTGGTTGATTCCGCATAACAGTGAAAGTGTTGAATTTGGAAAAAATAAATAAAATCCACACACTGAAACGGTGTGAAAACATGATTCCTAAAAATTAACAAAAAAACTTTTTTTATAATACCAAGTGACGAGACGAACAAGTCGCGCGCCTGGTGGTAAACGACACGCCTATCAGTAACAGTGACATAACCTGACATAAGTTGACAAGTCTCATGTGCCTGTAATTTCACCAGCACCCTTACCGTTTTAAACCAGAACGTAGTAATGCTCACATTGCTGCTTGGCGGCAGAAACAGGTAAGGTAACAGTACTTCTCTGGACAAACTCTTTCACAAGGAGCTCTAGTGCTACTAAAATTAAGTAAAAAACCGCTGTATTCAATAGGTACTTTACATAGTACATGGGGCGCACTATAAGTTTTCGGAATGAATAAGAAAAAAATACTATAAATGGTCAGAAATGAATTTATCGTTTCTCAAAATATTCTCCGTTAGCGTTAATGCACTTTTTCATACGAATGTACCAATTTTGGAAACATTTATGCCACTTCTCCGTGACAATCTCTGAAACATATTTTTCGTACCTGAAATTAATAAAAGTCATAAGGTGCCAGGTTGGGTCTGTATGCGGGATGTATCATAAGGTCAACGTTGTTCACCTTCAAAAATTCATTTGTCTGGCTGGCTTTGTTAGAACTGGCATTATCGTGGTGCAAGATGATACGGCGCTTACGGTTATTTTTACGGAGTTTGTCAATAACTTCCGGCAAACAAATGGTCGTGTACCAAACACTATTCACGGTACAACGATTCTTCAAAGCAACAGTAGCCACGTGTCCAGTTTTATTAAAAAAAGAAATAATCATCCTGTTAGAGGCACTTTGCACGCGCGCCGCTTTGGTGGGTTTCGGCTCATCTCGAAACACCCATACTCTCGATTGCTGCTTTCTTTTGGGATCGTAACTATAAAACCATGTTTCGTCACCTGTTACTATGTCCCACACCAAATTTGACGCACATCGTTGAATCTGGTAAGCATGGCATTGCACCAAGTGACGCGATCCGTTTTTTGAGCCTCAGTCAAATTGTGCGGGATCCACCGAGAGCACAGCTTTTTCACACCCAAATGTTTGTAGTATTATATTTTTGATTATATTTGACTCATGACTATGCCTAAAAATGCCCGAATCTCATGGTATATCACATGCCTATCTGTTTTGATCATACGGCGCACAGCATCGATGTTTTTGTTGTTCACAACAGTGGACGGGCGACCATCACGAAATTCGACACTGAGATTCACACGACCGTGTTTGAATTCTGCAAACCAGCTATAAATAGTCGTCTTGCATGGTGCTTCATCGCCAAAAGCAGTTTGAAGCCGAGCGAAGCACCGCTGAACTGTTAAATTATAGTTAAAGTCGTAGAAAATCATACTATGACAATTTTCACGAGTTAAATCCATGGTGATGTAGACAACCAGTTTCTAAAATGACGCCACAATGTAAAAACAATTGACAGTCAGATAAAATTAACTATATTCTACAGCCAAAGAGTTCCATTTTCAAATGTAATTACTTTTTAAATATTGTTTATGTTAGTGGTCAGTTCGGGAAACTTATAGTGCGCCATATGTACCAAGGATTTTTTAATATCAACTGAACTAAATACAACGCGTACAAATAGCTTTAATTTCGTTTGTAAAAAAGTAAATTATGAAATAAAGTAAGTGTCCCTACCGCTCGATCCAATCAAAATGAACCGTATTAGTACGAGAAAAATTAGAATTCGGGCTGAGGCTGAGGTAGTATCGATTCTTAAAACAATGAAATTTTACATTTAAGTTTAAAAAAATGAATTAATTATAAGTAATGCGTTTTACTGTCGATATTCATACTTCACGATGGGAACTTCTAAAAGTGAATTAATGTCTTCATGAAGCTAAGTCTCCTATCTAAAATATTTAAAATACTTGTCCTACGTGTCGTATAGATGTGGGTCACCCTGTAAACTACAAATAATAAATTGGAACCAAACAAAAGTGGAACACAAGATAACTGGCAGAATGATGTGGAACTGATAGATTACTAAAACTATAAACATTTATTTATACTTGTATATTAGCTTAATATGACAAAAGTATACTTAATCATTAGTCATTACGTCACTACCAATGCTCGGAATAGGTGTTCTGAATGAGTAGATAAATGTTTACGTATAGACTTAAACTGCCTCCGTGTCCGAACGGTTACCGTGACGGACTGCCACGCAGAGGTCTCTGGTTCGATTGTCGGGCCAGGAAAAATATTTGTATGGCCTGAATTTATTTCTCTCGTGAGTATGGGTGTAATTTGTGATTGTCTATATGTATGTACGTGGCACCCGCGACACAGGGTTTCCCTAGTGCGGGACTATGTTGAGTGAGTGTTATTATGATAAAAATAAGGTACAAGGAGCGAAATTGTGTGGTTATTGATTCATTAACCACCAAATATTGATTGATTACTTTTTCGGATTCATAATGTGAAGTGAAATTCGTAGATAATTATTATAATAAATCCTCAATAATATATCCTCATTAGTTAAAATAAATTTTTGCTAGTAGCTCATAAAATATATTTACTTTAGTGAAAGGTTAATTATCTACTCCTAAAAATGTAGTAGATAATTAACCGGCCCTGGCGAGAGATGTCGCTATTCACGGTATTTTAAATTTTTATTGAATTGATATTCAATTATTTTTTGTGAAATTACTCCACTAGTTTGTTATAATTATTAATACAAAAATGTTATCTTATATTAATAAAAGAATTTACCTGAGTGTACGTCAGATAAATTCCTTTGATCCGGCCGGATTCGAACCAATGTCTTTCGCCAGGGCCGGTAGCTGTAAAGGTATCTAACTAGGTGATAAAACTTTCATAGATTTCTCATAGATGGCGCTACGACTAAAAAGTCGTTGAAAAACCAAGTACCAAGACACGTCAACAAGCACATAGAAAAATTCGTGAGGTCCGCTGATTCGTTCCGTGGCTTAGTTGGTATAGAGTCTTGCACGGTATGCTAGAAGACGTCGGTTGGAGTCCGGCCGAATCGAAGGAATTTTTTCTGAGTGTTCGATCTTTGTATTAATAATTATAACAAACTAGTGGAGTAATTTCAGAAAAAATAATTGAATATCAATAAAACTTTATAATATTTGGTGGTTCTGACCGCTCTATATCACTTTTGTATTTATATGTAGACATTTATCTACTCATTTGGAACACTCTATTCCGACCATCGGTCATTACATACTTTTGTATTAACTTACTGAATTCACATTAATGGAATTTCGCGTTACAATTTTATAGTTATAATATAAAACAACTTCTAGTTCTGTAAACATATACCTAATGTGATATTGAAGTTAACACACGTTCAGATACTATACTAATGTTTGTATCCTATTGTTAACATATCTATTTGCAATTTGTAACTATCTCCTTATCTATATTATACAGTTATTTCACACCATTTTGTTTAATTTTATTACGTATTAATGTACATAAAGTGCCTCCCTCTTCTAACAACGCAGTCCGCTGTACCGTACTATGAAATAGGGAGAACATAACTATAATGCAAATGGCCTGTACCTTGTTTTTACCCAGGGGATAGGCAATATATGTTGAGATACAGGATTTCCTAGTTCGACTGTAGTGGCTTCATTTAATTGAAGAGTACATTCAGCAGCCTATTATTTACTTATGTTTGTTTAGCTTAGCATTGTAATGATGTAAATTTTTCACAGAATAAAAATATTACTATTATAATTATAATACCCCGGATGCCGATATCGTCAAGGACAAAAGATCTGGAAGTAAAAAACATAATTATATTAATTATGTATAAACTCAGGTTTAGTTATTGTAAGTTTCGCGGAATTTATATATATATGGTTTAAGATATTTATAAAAGAATACAAATTCACTTAGTGAGAAATACAAGGTATCATATAACTTCTACAAAGAGTACGTGCTGACAAAATATTCAAATGATGATATATAGATAAAATTTCGTGTTTTAGAAAAAACAAAAGCGAGGCCCTAATCAAGTATTGTACATCAATTGCCATGGCTAAACTTTAATAGCAATACCAACTCATAGTAAT